CGCTTGCGAACACAGAGCGTGAAATGAACGGGCAGTGTACAATTTTCGGCAGATTGGAAGGAGACAGTATCTACAATGTGTTGAAGATCGCGGATGCAGAGCGCGTTGAGGGCACTGAGCGACCTGTTTATCCGATCAAGATTACCTCCTGCGAGGTCGGAGAGTTAGGGCCCTTGGAGGGCAAGTTGAAGGATCGCCAGGCTCTCTCGACTGCATCAAGACCAGAGAAGGCCGCACCCAAGAAGAAAAAAAAGGTGCCTAAAGGCGGGAAAACGCTGCTGAGTTTTGGAGATGATGAAGGTGATGAAGGAATGCCAATGCGCCCAGCAAAGCCTAAATTCAACACCAAATTGGTCGCAGATGTACCAGACGCGAAGACAGATGCACCAAAGCCCAAGTCTCAAACCGAGGGCCCGTCACAGCCTCGCAAACGGCCAAGGTCACCATCCCCCAGACGATCAGCGTCATTGGAACGCAAAAAGCGCATCAAAACGCCAGAGCCAGAAACCCAACTCCCTGTCCAGGACCCTGAGTCGCCTGTTCGGTCTCCAACCCCAGAAGCCCCGCGTGCAAAAGAGTCCAAGTTATCCAAGACAAACGCCCAGATTGCCAGTCTAATGGCATCAATGCGCCGAGACGTTAACACCGGTCCAAAGGACACAGGCCGCAAGAAGTCCGCACTCGAATCCATGATCCCCGAAACCTCAATTCGAGGACGGAGACGACCACCACCAGGATCAGCCAACGGCTCAAGCCGCAACGGTACAGGACCCAGCAACGCGGCAGAGCGAGAAGCCCTTCAACTCTTCAACGCCTTCAAGGCCAAATTAGAAGGCGCCAAACCCGAAATCACGCCAGCAGCACAAACCAAAACTAACGGCAAAGAAAGCACGCAAACCAAAGACGCAGACGAAGACGAAGAAGCTCAACTCTGCGACCTACACTTCATCGCCAACTGCCAATCCTGCCAATCATGGGACGATCCAAGCGCAGAGGCAGCCGATGATCCTGCACAAGAAGGAGATTGGCTCTCGCACGAACTACGCTTTGGAAAGGATACGCTTGGCAAAGACTTAGAGTGGAAGAAGAAAAACCAGGAAGCCGATTCACTTATGGTTATTGATCCTCGTGAGAAGGAGAAGGAAGTTGTTGGCAGTGGTAGTGGGAAGAAGCGTGGATTTCAGCGGGATCGTGAGCGTGAGCGGAAGCGTGAACGGGCTGGAGATTTGGAGTGGGAGAGGGGGGGTTGATTTTAATATCCTTGTTCTCTACTTGTCCAGTGGACTATACAGAAACACAGAAATGCATAGGGCTATTTGTAGTATCATCTGCTTGGGTCGTAGACAACTTGGTGAGGACATAACTTACACCTCGCCATGTATGTACATCGTAAGTTGATAAACCTATAGGACTACATGATACTTTCTGTTAAATGTTGGCCATTTTGAATACATGTCCCTCCAGATCTTAGTTGGGTTTCTCGATCTCATCCTCATCATTTCACACTTCCCATTCAAAATGAGTTTTCAAGGTACGATCTACACTGCCATTCTAAGGGAATCTGCCCCGACTTTGAGGTAAGTGGCCTATGAATCCCACACAATCCATCTGAGCGAACATCTGAACGAATATTAGTCAATTGAATTATTGTTAAAATAGAACGATCTAGAACGATATCATACAAAGGCATCAACTAGGCAGGGTAGCAAAGACGATTTAACCCTAACCATCGTGATATAGCAAAATCAAGGACAAAGCGAATTATCTCATTTGTATATCAAGGATCATTCATGGTTCATTTTTACAGGCCAGCCGAATTTCCAGTATCACCTGCATATAAACAAAAGAACGCCTGCGTTACGCCTATTTTTGTTTCCATCCAAGCCCTAACCCGCTTGTCCACCCCACGTCGTGTACGGTATGACTTAAACGTTATCAAATCACGCCTTCCTGCGTCGCTTCGTGGCACTGCCACCATCATCGACAGCTTCGGGATTCTCCGTTACTGTGGGGCTGGTGGCTTCACTATCCGTCAACTGCTCGATGACGCGCCCAGAGTCATCGTAGCCGGTGCCATCGAAGCCGTAGTTGTAGGCCGGGTCGCCCTGACCGTTGGTATTATCGAAGAGATCGCCATCGGCGGGGATGTGGTCAAAGTCGAATAGGTCATTTGTGTCGCCGTCGTCGGCTTGGGTGGTCCCCATCTGATCAGTTGTGTTCTGGCCTGGTACTGATAGATGGCTCATCGGGTTCTCGGCCTGTTTCTTCAGATCGGAACCCGCATCACCGATGTCGGTGAAGTAGTCGTTGTTGAATATTTGGTCGAGGTCAAGCGGGGGAGGGGGTACATTTCCGTCACTGTCGAGACCAGGAATAGTCCCGTTCGGGCTCAGGGGTTGAAGGAGACTGGTCAAATTCTGGACGGAACGGTCCTGTTCGGCCTGCATTTTGACCAAGTTGTCAATCTCTTGACGGGTGCTGGCTAGCCGACCTGAGTAGTTGTGTGGCATAGGCGGGGGGTTCGGCGAGATGAGAGCGTTATTGGAGGATACGCCAGCATTGGGTTCTGCGGTATTTGTTTCGTTGGCCATAAGTCGCAGCATGTCCGCACGTTGATTCGCCGTAAGTGGGACGTTGCCGCCATGGTTTTCAAGGGAGGAAAGGACGTCGGGGAACTCGGAGAAGTTTGTTGGAACCCCGTTGCGTGCATTGGAGTTCTGGATGACAGACATGATATCCTGTCGAGGGAAGCCCTCATCTGTTTGATCATTTGGCACGTTTGAGGCGCTCGGCCGAGGACTATGATCAAAGACCTCTTCCACATGGCCCGGCTGTGTAGCACTGGGTTGCCGGTTGTGGCCTCGAGACCGTGTGTCATAGGGAGCACTGGCAGCTGGTGAGATTGTGTTCGCGCGGCTACCTTCATTAGATATCGGGGGTGCTTTCAAAAGAAGTGGTTGTTTCTTCATCCTTTGGTTATTAGGGCTTGTCATCGAGCCCAGAGCATTGCTCAGATAGTCATCATCGACGTCCACAATATTGCCTTGATCCTGCGAGATGGCTCCAGCAAAAGAATTGGCGAGGTTTTGAGGGCCATCTTGTCCCTGCAAACTGCGGTTGTAAACTGTCGCGAGGAAAGTCAAAATGGCATTGATGGAGTTCTCATGGCGAGTGTGTTGCTCCTGGAAGTTGGCTGCTTGCGCATACAGCTGCTCGTGTTCTTTTCGCAGCCTGGTGATTGTGGTTGAGATAATTGACTGCTGCTGACGGATCGCTTGAAGTTCGCGATAGACGCCAGAAAGTTGTTCATTAGGCACAGAGCTGTCTGTGACTAAAGACAGCTGTTGTGGCCGAGAACGAGTATCGCGAGCAGTGGATGTGCCCTCTTCAGCATACTCATCCATGTCATTATCATCAATATCCTCCGTCTTCACGCGGGTGCCGCCTTTGCTGGGTTTGCTGGCATGGCCTGTAGCGTTCTTCGGCTTCTGGATGAGCCACAGCAAATCGGGGTGGCCACGTTTGAAATATGGGTTTGCGTATTCGCTAGGACTCTTGTTCTTCCGCTCGCTGGCACGCATCGAATTGTCGGAAAGTCCGACCTTCTTGTGAAAGCCGTACATATTCAGCTGTCGGACGAAAGATGCATAGTTGTTATGTTTGAAAAGTTCCGGGATTAACGTCCTCGCGAATTCATCCTCGTCCAAAACGATGAAAGAGTTGCCATCATCGGACCAACGAATCAATTCCGTATTCTTGGACTCGTCAAGAAAGCTGCGTTCGACAATTAGCCCTAATTCTTGGCGCCAAAATAAGATATAGATCATACCTGCTCAATTTCTGCACAAACGGAGGGATCTGTTTCCGTTTTGCTTGTGCTTCTCTTTTCGCAGTCTGGGCGCGCCGGTAGAGCTCCTCCAACGACTCTCCCCATGCGCCGCTCTCGCCATTACCTGTGTTGCCCCCATTTTCGACATATGATGCGGGTGCCTGCTCGTACCCGCGGTTCCGGCTGATCAGCTGGTTCTGGTTTTGATTCTGGTTGTGGTTTGCCTGTCGGCGAGCGAGTTGGTTAGATGCTGTCGCAGCCGGTGCAGACACATCTTCAGGAGGCGCAAATCCCACAGGATTGTATGAGTTATCGGAGAAAGCGGAGGTATTGATAGCGTTAGAGGGATTCTGGCCCCATTGTAAGAATTGATCGTTCGAAAGCTGGGATCCGGGGTTTGCGGTGGTCGGAAAGTTGGGGACAGTATTCATCTGAGGATGAACGACTGGGGCCGTTCCTGGGGCAGGTCTCTTGCGAGTCGCACCTTGGGAACTCATGGTGATGGACGGGCGCAGTGGCGTTGAATCTTATCGCGGGGAACCTGAATATGGTTCTGTCTCTCGCCAATGTCGCACAAATTGTAATATTGGCAAGAACTGCCTAGTAGACAGAACGGCCAGATGCAAACGCAAGATGCGAAAAGTCGTTCATTCAAGTCGTTGGAATGAGCGACTCAAAAAGTCTTTGAAAGTCTTTGAAAATCTTTGTCGACGGAGCCGAAAGAAATAGAGGCACCAACGAGAGAGCAAATCTATCGACGCGAAGGGAAACGCAACGCGAGGATAGAGGATTGAAGCAGTAGTGATAACGAGGCGACTGATCAGCGCGTGAAGTCAAGGCGGGATCACCTGGCAGAAATTATATGGGCGGTGAGGCGATGCACGAAGAATGAAAGGCGGTCTGGGATGTTCTGCCCAAGATGTCGAATTGCGAAGGATTCGTGAGTGATTGCTTGGCAAGGGATATTGAGTCAGATATCTCCCTTTCAATGAATTAGAACTAACATCCTGGCTAATCTCTCCTATAGTCAGTAAGTATATTTATTCTCGAGCCATGCCTGCTAGGTTACTATACGTATAGAAATTGCCGGAAATGTGTATAGTTTCAGGCATGGGGGTCTCTTCCACTCTGCCTAGATTCTTTTAATGGCTCGCTGGGTACACTATGCAATCTATTCTCTCACTCTGGCGACAGTAAAAAGCGAGAAGTCATTACCTCATAGACCTAACGAGTCCCCAGTCAAACCCTGGAAGTCTGCAAGGATCTGTTTCCATTCATCAGGCTGCTTCTGAGTAAATTCCTCCACCTGTTTTGGGGCAGCCAGATCCTCCTTCATGCGCAACTCATTCTTAGTTCCATTCAACACCGTCAAATTTCCCAGACCGATAATCAGTGCATAGAACGCAGCGGCCGGGGTGATGTCGACATGACGAGCAAGTTGCTGCACAGGCAGAGAACGCACCAGGTCCGGATTTGCCGTCAAAGTCCAGAAGCCTTGGTAAATGACCTGGTTATCGCGACAGAAAGCACGCATAGGAACATCAAACAGAGTATCTTCGTGAAATCTGTTCTGTACAACTGATGGCTTCACCGTTGTCATGGATGAGTTGCACAGTTCTCGCAGCATGGGCATCGTGCAGTTTGAAATACCCAAGTTTCGAATGCGGTGGGGTACATAAGTCTCAAGAGCCTGCCAGGCCTCGAGCGTCTGGGCTAGAGTGGGAAGCGGCGAATGAATGACCACCGTGTCGATGTAGGCCTCATCCGCTGAGCTCGGGTCATCTGCTGAGCGAAGATTATGTAGGGATGACTTGACAGATGCATGGACTTGCTCCGTCACTGTCGCTGACGGGTCGTAGGGCATGTTTCCCACGTCCTGTGCCGAGACAGGGCTATATTTGGTTTGCACCTGGCCATTGTCAGCTGCATAATCAAAGATAATAATATAAGGTCCACTCACATATAGGTCTTTCCGGTCGACGATCCCATCGGCGATAGCTCTGCGAATGCCATCGCCGACGAGATTTTCTTGGTAATGACGGGGTTGGGCTGCAGTGTCCACAGCCCGGAATCCAGCCTTGATCGCAGTGTAGACCAGATCTGCGCTGCTATCCTTTTTCCAGGCTGTGCCGTAGATGAAGACTGGGATGGTGGTGGATACGGTGCCCTGAGTTGGACGCAGGCAGTACTTTTCCCACATCTTGCTAACCGACCGAGCCATTGCAAAAATTGGGCAGTTTCGGGAACCGGGTTGTGTACAGCGTTCACAGCCGTACAGCGTTCACAGCCTCCAAAGACGTGCAGTTGTACCAATGAAGAAATGATGTTATGACTGCGGGGTTTGAAAAGCGATCTTACTAAGTCGCTTGCCCCGAGGCAACCATTACGGTAGATATTTATATGTTTATATGTGCGATATACTGCTAAATATTGACAATACTCCATGCTATGAGGATGATAATACCTTCCGTTGCTATCCCAATATTGCGGTAAACAATATCGCTAATCGCGCTAGTCATTGCAGTCCAAGCCACCGATGTTGCTTCCACTCTATAGTTCTAGAAGGTGAGAGGCCAACGATCTTGACAAACTGATGACATGCATATCCAAAAGCATCTCAATAATTGTGAAGCCTGGAGGTTAATCCACTAGGCTTTATATAAGTATCGCGCATCTATATATAGTTGGTGGAGTACGCTCGGCAACCGGCAACCCACACGGGAACGTTCGACACTGGGGATAGCCACGGAGTAAGATGTCTAAATCACAGAAATAATTAAAGAATGTTAAACTATCAAGGCTGCAGAATTGCCGGATCAAAGGATATGCACCGGGTTGTCCCCACAGTGTGTGTGGCTTAGACGTTCAACTTTGCATAGGATCTCCGCGCGGAATACCTTGGCAAGCAACGAGTTTCGCATACATAACCGAGAAACAGTACAGGGTCCCTAGGGATATTGAATGCTAAGACATATCTAAAGCCCCTGCATACTGAAGTCATCACCACCAAACTATAGAACTATGCACGATATTAATAGCTCTCCACAATCAAGTAGTGCTGCACCCAACTAGATCTTGGCTAAGTCTTGGCTGATGCGATATAAAACCAGGCAGCTGCTTTTGTTCGATCAGCATTGGCGGTAGTCCCTGTAGATCTGCAGCGCTATCAGTCAATGCATTGATTTTGGCTATGCAATGGACAACTAGGGTCGGCATGCATTTGGGGCTCAGCAGCTCAAGTACCTATCTCAGAACTCTGATCATTGGCGGAGTATGCCGACAAAGAGACAGGCCTCCAAAATGGGAACGGAAATACCCGGCAAAGCTTGGATCGGCAGGGTTCAGCAAGTAGAGGTCACATTTATAGAACCGACCCCAACCTCAAATATAAATACGCAGTGAATCTCGCCGGGAATTGATTTGAATCATCAACAAAAATACAGCCAATCTTCTCTACCACTCTCAAACCAACCCTCAGTATCAATCATCATGCGTGCTACACAGCTTCTCGCTCTCGCTGGCCTCATGCTTGCCGGCAACGTCGCCATCGCCTCCAAGCTAGACCACGACGATGTCCCCAACCGCTGCTGGAATGCCTGTGGCTCCGTTGTGGGAACCTCCAAGAGCTGTGATGCTAGACATGACAATGATTCCGCCGAGCTCAAGTGCATCTGTGACTGGGAGTCTGCCAAAACACAGATTCCACTCTGTGCTGCTTGCATCACCCAGTACCAAACTGACCGCAACATCACCAACACTGATCACGACCACGATCACGACCGCGACAATGACAACGACCGTGACAACGACCGTGGCAATGATAACGACCGTGATGACGACAACACCAAGCGCGACTACAATGACGATGATGACGATAACGGTATGCATAATCTACTATAGACGACCATAAAGAAGAATGCTAATACATACCACAGAGGCTCTCGACCTCGTCCACTCCTGCTCATTCAGCACAACCACCTACAACTCCGCAGCAGCCACTACTGTGAGCGGCACCACCACTGGCACAGGAACTGGAACTGCTGTCTCCACCGAAGCCACCCCGACAGACGGTACACGCTCCAGCAGTTCCAACAGCCAGGACTCGACTAGTTCCGGATCCGGGTCTGGCTCCAGCTCCTCAGGCACTGATAGCTCGAGTGCCTCGTCGTCCACCCCGACTCCCGATGCTGCCCCTGGCTTGGTAGCTCCTGGTGCTGTGTCCATGGCCGGTCTTGTTGGATTGATCGCCTTTGCTTGGGTGTAAACCCACGGGCTGAGAATTTTGGAGATTCTATGGGATGAATGAGTGAATACGTGCACGATGGGGTTATGAATATATTCAAAGTCTTTCCTTAAATTTGCAGATGATATCATCCAGGTTTTGCTTTTGGTTTAGATAGTTTAGTGTGAAATTGATGATTTTCGTGTTTTGAGTAGGGTCTGTGCCATTATTCAATGGCTACTGAGCTATCCAGTTACCTCGAGAACAATGTAGGCACAATGGACATGTGAAGAACATCTCGATTATAAAAGAAATGCAAGTCTTGAGGGTATTGGTACATATAAACACTATCCGTAAACACAATCATATCTCATCTAAAAATTATTGATCCATGGGAAATTCATCTTCCCAGTTGCCCCAAAGATCATCAAAAGGATCCGCAAGCGGGTCCGGCTCCTCGTACTTCATGTTATAGACATCTTGGTAGCACTGTGCCTTTGCAGGACAACTTGACAGCATGTTAGCATTCCACTTCCAGTAAAACCACGGACAAAACTTACAACACGGGATCCTGCCCGAAGATAATGTGCCACAAGTACTCAAAGACACGACCACTAGTCTCATCATCCAACTCAGTTGTCATAAGCCAGCGGTGATAATGCTCATAGTCGCTGCGGGGCCGCTGGAGAACCTGCTGTCTCGTGACAGCAAATTGAGCACAGCAAGGCGTAGCGACAATCTCAGGGACATCGGTACTATTGAAAATGCGAATCCAAGCACCCGCGAACGCCAACTCGGTGGTGCGGCCAGCCATTTGTCGGAATGGTTGGACTTCATCGGGACATCCTGGACCCCAGTCACAGCGAAGGTTGAGATATCCGGCTTGTTTGAGGTAGTCGAGTTGCAGCCTCTGGACGGTCAAGGTGTTGTCTTGTTCCCAGAATTCGGTGTGGGTGCTATATTGATGGGCGTGCAGGAAGACCATATACTCGGGCATATTGTCATAATTGTCGAGGATGTATTGGAGATAGACGTTGCTTTCTTTGCCTTTGTTCTGTTCGACTGTGCGAGTCGCTTCCGGGTCATCGACGATATAGACCGCATGCTGCCATCTATAGTTGCAGGTCGAGTTAGCACTGAGGTTTGAGGGCGTTCCAATCCACGAGGACTTACTCTGGCAACTGGTCCTCTAACCAATCGGTATCCTCGTACGACATCTTCCCCAGAACAATTATCCGATCCGGTTTCGGGGTAACCTTGGGCGGAGGCGGCGCAGTGGACGAAGGCGCGAGCTTCTGTACATTCCCATGCTGAATCGGACCGAGTTGCTGACCATGGGACTTTTGCGAATCCGTCAATTTCTTCGGATTCGTTTTCGAATTCCAATTCTTCAAAAACGGAAAATCCTGGCCAGCCCATTCCGCGCCAGGAACTCGCACAGGGATCTGTTTCGGTACGACCTTGTCCGGCACCACCGGAGGCGTTGGTCGGCCGGTTGGTGTCCATTTATGCCGAGTCGGGTTCTGCGAAGCCGAGGTCGTGGTATCAGCCGAGACCATCTCAATATAAGCGTCGGATTCATCGAGCACATAGTAATCCCTAGTCGAAGCTTGTTTCCGACCCGGAGCCTGCCATTGCGGAATCGAATCAAGATGGCTCTTCACCAGTAACACGGTGAACACCACAGCAATGGCAATCGCCACTCGTAGGGTAGTCCTCATTGTCCAGCACGAGGCATAGAGAAAGAAAAAACGCAGCGGACGTAGATCTCAAGCCGCGCGGGCCCGGACTTTTAAGGGCGACGCCAGCCCCCACTCTGAGCCTTGGCCGTCAGCCACGATTAGCTTGGCCGCGTGGTTCCTGATGCAAGCTGCAGCTTTCCCGAGACCGTTGGATACAGAGAAAACTCAACATATCACTTATTAGCTCTGGCTTGCATATTCGCTGCGGTTTACTCGCCAATTGCGCCTTTTGAGGCGACCTAGCGGACTAATCTCGTGTCGTCACACCAGTCCGATTGCAACCTTTTAGCCTGGTGGGCCCCCGATACTCGTCACTTATTCGCGTCGCTTAGACTCATCGTTTCAGCAGGGATATACGTATCCCGTTGACTGTCGATCACTCATTTCATTCATTTCATTCCGACCTGAGAATCTAATTGTTAACTGTGAACAAAGAAAGAAGATTTTGGATTACGTTGGGACCTGCGCCAAGCAATCTGCATGAGCTTAAATGTTGCATAGATGGACAGAAATGAAACATTCTACGGAGTACGTGGATGTACACACATGTACAGTACGTTAGTTTCAGGTCCTTGATCTAGTCTAGACAAATATAGTCTCCTGTTGGGCTTAAGTTACCGGGTCAAGGATGTTGGTGGCCTAACTTTTCAGGCCAGGAATCTTTCTTTGTCTTTTCTTTTGCTTCCAACTTGGATCGGACGTACTAGCAAGAGATAACTGAGACTTCCAATGTTGTTACTGTATTTGGATCCCCGTCTCTCGGCAATAGCATATGGATCCCTGATGCATGTAAGACCATGACATCGAATCTACAGGTACCTATAAGCACCACGTGGAGATCGACCCAGCAGTGTACATGTGCATATGGCTCCTGAGACAAAACTGGGCCTGTCGCCCTCATTTGGAAGAACCAAAGACCCTTTTTAGGACTTTGCAGACTATGCTCAATCGTTCGCATCGAGGCCTCAGGCGGCGGCTTTACAGCCTTTGGACCTCTTAAGGGGTCATATGTTTTTATCCACCTGTGACTACGGTTACTGTCCGATCAACCTTTGCACCTATACAAAGACAGGACCTCTCACGCAGCCCCCGGTCTAGACCAATGAGGGTGATGTGGCGGGCTTCGGCAAATCTGAAATCCTGAACAACCTGTGACTTTGCCTGCAGTCGAGGATATTGCCCTGAAGAAATTTGTACGCCCAAGGACGAGATAGAAATCTTCGAACCTCAATTCGGTCTTGAGATGGGCTGGCACGGGCACAGCTGCCTGCGCCTCGACCTAAAGACCGATCATTCTCAGCGGTACAGGTGCAATCATGATGGTGGAAGCTTAACTTAAACTGGGGCTTCTCGTATCGCGTTGAGCTGCTTACACCTCGGAAGACCGCGGAGCTGTCGCAATGTGAAAATATATAGATTGGTTTTCAATATTGGTCTTGTGACTTGACCTCTTCAAGTATTGTCGTGATCAACAAGTGATCCACCAGGGACTGCAGTCTTCATTTTCTCCTGACTTGGGGAGTCTACAGCATGGGGGATACCGGTATGCCTTTTCCTTGTTGTCTCCAAACTGGCTCGGTTTCCAGAATACACGTAGATCCCGACTTGATTCTACGCCAATCGTTTTGCCTCACATTGTGATCGGCACGCTGTCTGGCACCTGAGAGATCGTAGATCGTCCTATGACGCATGACCATCACACAGCCATCATCTCAGCTCCTTATCGTAGACTCGCCAACTTACTTTCAGAAGATGGAAGTATGATAAGGCAAATGACGGCCAAAGCAACCCACAGTGAACATCCAGCAGACCACTCGGCAACCCGTTTCACAAAGTCCCCGGAGATCAACACGAGGCAATCTCAGGAGAAGAAAAACTTCCGTAGTCTTTTCTAGCGTCACCCTGGAATGGGGCAGCTATACCACATCCGGTCGCCATGTTGTCGTAGTGAGCTCCTGGCGCTGGAGCACTCCACACAAGCAACACGATTGGGGAGGGATACTGCCCACTAAAGGTTCTAACCAGCGTCTAGCGGGTTCTAGGGCAGCCGGAGCCTCTTGGAGGCTTCGGCTTTGGCGCTAGAAACGGGGGATGTGCGGATCGTGGAGACGAGACGAAAGTCCAATTTCATGGAGTGGGACCTGCTGCCTCACTTCATGTACTGTCAATCAAGCCAATGCCGATGGGGAACAGGGTGGCCCGTCCCGGACCAAATTATTGGGTGAGCACCGGCTGCCTAGGGCGCTGAAGTGAATTTTAATAACTTGGGTGGCGAGAGTCGACAGCCCAGGTCCAGAAGTTGGAAGGGTGGGAACGGAATAGGGGGAGGGTCATACTGTATATGTAATTATAGAAGCCCCTAATGAGGAGTACAGTCTTGTATTCCCCATATGTCTCCAGCCATAAATGAACAATCCCGGTGTCAAATATAGGGTCTTTGCACAGAGCACGAGGCAGGACGCGAACCCGATCTGTCAACTGCAGTACGGAGAAGTGACAAATCCAGTCAACAGAGTCAAATTAGCTTAGGGATGAACGTGTGTGCTAGCGTCCACTGTGGCGGAGTCTGTGTCTCTAGTGACGAGCCTAACAGAGGGCATATCGAGGGGAGGATGATGGACATTAGAGGCTGTGATCCCTGTCTCTGATTCGGCCGGATCTGTTCGTCTGTTCCGGATCAAACAGGGGATTAGGGGGAATGAAAATGGGGAATAGGGGACATCAGTACGGAGTACGAGTATGAATGTACAGTACAGTAGAGTAAGTAAAGAGTGAGGCTAAGAATGAAGATTGGAACCAGGGAACGTTGCTCCCGTTCCCTGTTCGAGGACAACGTTAAGTTAACTCTTACAATGTGGTTAATAGTTAACGTTAATACGGTAGTTAATGATATAGTTAATTATAGAGTATACATTTAATGAACTGATTATATCTATAACTTGTCAGGGGCTATGGGGATGGGGCTGGACTATTGGTTCTTAGTTAATTTGTTCCCTTATAATAGACCATCCCCTCGTGCATACTGCTCCGATCACCTGTTTTTCGACTCTAATCTCTTCACCTCCTTGCTTCATTCTTCCCTCGAGATCTGTCACCTCAGGGAAAAAAAAAAGAAAGAAAGAAAACCACCTTGGCAGACAGAAAAGAAGAAAAACAAAGGCGGCGATAGTTCTGCCCCTGCTCCGCCAATCTCAAGTTTTCCCCCCTCAAACTTGTCCCATCCGCACAATCCCGTCTGCCTCGACGGTTTTCTCTCCCTCGATCTTCATGGTGGAGTAGTCCCGTGTTAGGGGTTTTTTTCTTTGCATTTTTCCCACATTCCCTCCCTTCATGAGTTATCAAGACATGTATCACGACGCCGCACGATCCCCTGGCTCTCAGCGGCATCAGCAACCCCTACACCGTCAGCCTTCTCGTCAGTTTGACGCCTACGGTCCCATGCCTGTCAACCCCTACGACGAGCAGATGGCCCGTTACGAGTCCGCTCGCCTCGAGCGTCTCAACCCGTCCCTGCAGAACAACTACGGCTACGATATTTCCGGCTCCCAGACCTGGAACCCCAACGGTTTTGCCAACGCACAATCCCTGGGAGGCATTCGATCGGCTTCGGCCAGCCTGAAACCAAATGCCCGTGGACGTTCCGGCCTGCCCACTGTATGTCTCGCGTTTTTCGACACCGAAGAATTCCCCCATTACCCCCAGGAAACAACTAACCCTCCCAAGACGTGGCTCGACCAGCAGCCGAACATGCCCCAAGCATTTTCGAACCTTGGACCCGGTCCCATTCAGAGCAGCGCGATGCGACCGGAAGCCTCAGCCTCGTCCGCTGACGACGACGAATTGATCCCAACCGCGATCGTCATCAAGAACATCCCCTTTGCCGTGAAAAAAGAGCAACTGGTGCAACTGATGACCGAACTTAACCTCCCCCTCCCCTACGCGTTCAACTATCACTTCGATAACGGCGTTTTCCGTGGACTGGCATTCGCCAACTTCACGTCGGCAGAGGAAACGGCCACTGTGATTGAGGTGCTCAACCACTTTGAATTGCAGGGTCGGAAATTGCGAGTCGAGTATAAGAAGATGCTCCCTCTTCAGGAACGGGAGCGGATTGAGCGCGAGAAGCGTGAACGACGTGGCCAACTGGAAGAACAGCACCGGCCTATGGGTGGTCCTCAGCTTCACACTCAGAGCTCCATGTCCTCGCTCGCCTCGCACATCCCGGCCACTTCTCCCTCGCCCGTGTCGCAACGCGGCCAGAAACTTGGTGGGTTACACACTCGTTTAAGGTTATTGAAAATGCGATCTGTCGCTAACGAAAATTTTCTGTGTTCAGATGTGGACTTGAACGACACCCAGACCCTTCAGTATTATTCCCAACTACTCCTTTTCAAGGAAGATACCGTCCGCGATTCCGTGATTTTCCCTCACAACTTGACCCCTTCCCAGCGTCGCACGGTGCACACTCTGGCCCACAACATGGGCTTGGGCCACGCTTCTCGTGGCAGCGGTGAACAGCGCCAGGTTCAGGTCTTCAAGGTTGCCGCGGGCGCCAATGTGAGCCCGCCGCTGTCTTCCATCCCACCTTCCGGCCAGTCGAGCGATAGTGCTCGTCGTGGTCTGAACCGCGCGGCCACCATTGACTTCAGCGAGGCACGCAACGAGGCCCGCAATGAAGGCGGACCTGGTGCTTTCAATACCCTGCGTGGACAGAACTCTGGATTCTTGGGTGTGCTAGACTCCCCTGGTAACTTTGCCAACGGCCAGAACTTGCGCGCTGCCAAGTCGTTCGCTGACCTGCGATCCTACACTCCTTCGCCCGTGCCTTCCTCTGCCAGCTTCCCCGCCGCTCTGCAGTCGAACGGTGCCCGTCTTCAATACGAGGGCGCACCCACCGGTACCTCCAACACTCCCACTCTCACTCCCGCACAGTCTGGTTCTTCTCTTGGCATGCAGCGTGATGACAACCTGCTGGTCAACAGCCTGGGTGGCCTTTCTCTTGGCACCGGTATCGGTGGGCCCAACTCGAGTCCCCGTCGCCTGCGCGGCATGTTCTCCTGGGAGCAGGATAGCCAACACTCCAACGCGGGTGCTATTGGCAGCAACCGCGGCATGGGCGTCGGTTACGATGGCCAGCAGGAGCGCATGCCTATCCGTCAGCCCCGTGGCCCTACCCCCGACAAAGGCACTGGCTTTCGCCGCCAAAACGGACACCAGGCTCGCGGGAGTGATGAGCTCCGCACCAACTCCGGTGTAGAGATCATCGTGGAGTAAACATTGGACGACTTATTGAAGATGGCGACTCCCCAAATTTTTTGCCAGCATCCGACTGATTTGCCGCGACACGAATACGACTTGTATTACGAGGCCCTGTTCTGCGAATTACCGGCTTACGATTCGATGAGGGATGACGAGATGACACCAAAAAAAAAGACCAGAAAATCCTTTGTTTCGCTGATCTAGCCAAGTTTTAGACGTTTCTTTTTTGGGGCAGCCCAACCGACGCAGTTTGGACGCGCTTTTTTTGAACTTACCGACTCGCAGTGTTCCGAGGGAACTCTGGACTTTGTTCTTTATTCACTTTCTTCATTTTTTATTTCAAAACTTTCTGATATTGCGGGCGCCTTGCATGCAAATCCATGGCTTTCTATTATGCTGTCTCTGGCGGAATGAACTCCTGACGACCCCGAACGCCCCCTGGTGTTACCGGGACGCATACGAAGAATGACAACTCAAAAGACCCTCTGCCGACAGGCCAGAGAAACGACAAATACCAGCATTTTGCATATTCTTGTCTGTTCAGTTTGTACATGGGGTGACTCGCATCCATTTTAATGTTTCTGGCCCGCCTTTCCCCGACAGCCGTTTCCTCTAGGAAACTCATGTTCGGCTTGTTCCGGGAGGGTGGTTGTGACATGTCTTTTCATTCTGTTTTACTCTACTTTCTGTCTCTTTGCTCTTTCTGCGTGCTGTTGACTGCTTTCCTCTTTTGATCTGATGTCGTCTTGCGGAAAGGTGCCCAGGGCGAACTCTGACAACTCTCACATGAGTACATGTATATGGTACTCGGCAGGTGCAGAGTGTAATGCATCCTGTCCTCATCTCGACCCTGATATACTCCCATGCTGGAGGATTCTCTTTCTCATGTTTGGTATCTTGCAGTGTAGGGATTCTGTTTCTTTTTCACTTTCCTCAGATCTTAACAATCCATGTACCTTTTACTATTAGAATGTCTAGCGTAGGAAGTTGACTTGCATCTATATATACTCCGTACAGTAGTATCGTACAAAAGCCCCAATCCACAATGAGTCCGATTACCTTTAGCTCCCCTGTAACACAAGCGTTGCCCCTAAACCGTTAAATGCAGCCCGAATGATCTCGATCGTATATACTTACCGTGTTCCATACTAAGTGAAATAGATAAACCGAAAATGCCAAGAAATGACGCGGTTGCTTTGTTTATGGAGTTATGCATGCCCTGCCGATCCCCCGTGCCAGTCCCGCCCTTGACATCAGGACACTCGGATACTCTTATACAGTGGGAAGTGTAGATCCCAAAGTAGATGTACTCGTATGAATTGTGTCATCTTCCAAGGTTGCTCGGGTGAAGAATTGACGTTGTTATGGTGCTTCTGGAATGCAATACAATCTGGCAGCCTGATCGCGCAATATCCATACCTATTCTATGTTGACCGACAGCGAGGACATAATCACACATCGTCGTACATATGGCTACTTAGAAACAACTACAGACATGTACACAAGTAAAGACTAACGTCGAAGCAGTAACATTCCCACTACCAGGATATCCCCATTTTCCCATTAAAGCGCCCTATGAACTTGGAAAGACAGAAAAAATAGAAAGCAAAGACCGGGGAATATCAGAAAATACATCAAGGTGAAGCGCCGTGAAGAACAAAGACGAGAGAGCGGAAAGATGGGCTACCGGGATGGACCGGAGATTCAGGAGTCGAGAGTTGGAGTTGTTGGGTTGAAGGGAACCACCCGCGCCCACCTTGCTTCTCTTTCGGGTATTGATTTATTCGAGGAGGCCACCCTTCTTCTTTTGCTCGACCTTCAGGAGCAGCGCACGGTTGATGCGGGGCAGGACACCACCGAAGGCAATGGTTGCGCGGATGAGAGTGTCCAGTTCCTCATCACCACGGATGGCGAGTTGCAAGTGGCGGGGCGTGATACGCTTGACCTTCAGATCCTTTGCGGCGTTGCCGGCCAATTCCAGGACTTCAGCAGTGAGGTACTCGAGCACAGCGGTCACGTAGACGGCAGCTAGGAAAGAATAGGGTTAGCAACGCGCGCATATTGAACAGAAAAAGGTCGCAACATACCCTTAGCACCGACACGCATCTTGTTCTGAGTGTTGTTCTTCAAGAAACGCTTCACACGACCGCAGGGGAACTAAAAATCGATTCATGTCAGCAGTCGCGTCACGCGAGGCACCGGTGATGGGATACGGTCGGAAGAGAGGCTATGCGACAACAAGGCGACAATGTTCCATGGTGATCCGTGAAACTGCCCCTATTGAGCAACGACGAGAGACCGAGTCGACGCGTCTCGGGCCAGTTTCATCGAGCAAGTCATCGCCAACATCGCATAACCACTCTCTGCGACACCCCTCCCACTCTACCAGCGATTAACCACATCCAGGAATAACCCACCTGCAGACCAGCCTTTGCGCTGTGAGACTTCTGGGCCTTCCCCGCAGCATCACCCTTTCCGCCCTTTCCACCGATAGACTTTCCCTTTCCACCAGGCATTGCGAAGGATGATTATCGCGAGGATACAGAGAACAGATAGAGTCTGAAACCACGGAAAGAAGTTGATGTTGAGGTAACAGTGAGGTAGGCACGCGTTGTTGATGGATGGAGAAGTCAGAAATGTCGGCTGAGCCAAAAACACCTGCTGCCGTTCGACGCTAGTCCCAATGCGGAAACTAGGTATACCGCTGGGGATGTAACCTGCCAATGCCCTGGGAAGATCATGTATAGATCAAATATCCATGATATATGATCTATTTTCTGCCGAGCCAGTGTACACGGTTGTCATATAGTTGCTGGCGTGTTAGTTGAGGAAACACCGTCATGGTGGGGATGCCAGAATGTGTCTTGAGCATGGCGGTAATAGATGCCACACTTGGCTGAGGATTACCTGCATCATCCCTCAGTCCCCCTGATTGCTCTGAACCAGACCATTGTGCAACTGCTAACCAAATTGGGAGACTAGTTGTGTCGTGGTTGTTGGATTTCGCAATATAAGCTGGTCTGGTTTGAAGCTGGACTATCCATCAGAATCACGATTGCAGGCACGTGATCACTCATGCCTCAGGCTTCACGGTACAACAGTTCATCCGGCTCCGCCTTCCAGAAATGCCAGGTGGCCCGCGTCTCGAGTTTTACGTGAACTCCGAACTCCCCCATACTCAAATTTCCCCAGAACATCCGGCAAAATGGTGTCTCCTCAAATGTATGCTTTGATGAATTGTACGATCTCTCTTTGGTAACTAACCATGATTTAGCACCAACCTCGCCATCATCTTGGTGATGATGCAGCTGGCCAAGAAGGTTCCCTTTGAGGATCCTCAGGTCCTGATGCTGGTGCGCGGATGCTACATCCTGTCCAACATCCTGATCCTGGCTCTGCACTTGTGGACACAGTTGAAGATCAACCAGAAGAAGGGTATGTCGCGTGCCCCGACCATCCTGACAAACACTAATCATAATCCAGACATGACCACCCTTAAATACGTGGAGCCCGCCCCGATGGGCAGCACCGAGGAGCCCAAGCCCGTGACCACCACCAACATGGACTACGACAAGGGCCAGCTCCGCCAGTCGATCCGCAGCCAGTTGATGGGAGTCGGCATGATGGGTGTGATGCACCTGTACATGAAGTACACCAACCCTCTCCTGATCCAGTCCATCATTCCCCTGAAGGGAGCCCTCGAGTCCAACCTGGTCAAGATCCACGTCTTCGGCAAGCCTGCCACCGGTGACCTCGCCCGTCCCTTCAAGGCTGGTGGTGGCTTCATGTCCGGCGGTCAGCCCAAGAGCGACAAGGCCTCCATTGAGAGTGCTGAGAAGAACTGGCGGGGTGGTGTCAAGGAGGAGTAAATGGGTTCTTCTATGATACCCCTTCTGGATTTCCGATCATAGAGCGTTATCTTCTCTTTGTACCATAATCCAACTCGGGTCGTTTATTCGGCCGGTTATTGTTCATCATTGTTAATTGCCACGAAACTATTTAAAGTATACTCGAGATGTCCTTTGTATCGTATGGTCCCTGTGGTTGCTCTGTGCGCCACTATCAGATTCCATGGCCTTCCGTAGATAAGGTAAAAATGGACACCTAAGTAAAGTGCCTTGGTGCCTTGGTGCCTGGACACCTTGACACCTCACTTGGTCTTGCCATAATGACATAATTTTGCAGATGTGGCTGAGGTAAGAGATGAGCTATCAGCTCCGAGACTCCAAGCTGAATGTATAGGATTTATAATCTCCCTCTGACCATCAGCCATATACAACAATCGAATCGTAAAAATCTGCTTGACCCCGTGCTGTTCCCCGGTGACTGTTTTCAGGACGGGGGAGCCACATTCTTATATCGCCCATACTCAATCGGTCCACCGCAGCTCAACTGCGGCTGCTCCGCTTGCGTTGGGGACCAAACAGCTTGAAGTATATCATTCTAGCAATTAAAAGATTTATAATTGATCTGCTTGTGTCGTGTTTCGAGCATAACTGGGCTTAACAGTACATTGTACATTGTAGTACACCCCTCCAGTGCCCCTCCAGTCATAGCATCATCACTACCCCTCCAAACCTCGGAATCTTCCACGCACCTTACGTAGTAGATTATCGTGATATTCATCTCTTCCGAATAATTAGGCAAAACATTCTCGAGAGAAGCTCCGAGGCAATAGTAATAACCCGATGAATGTCGGCTGGGGAAGCTCTTATTGGCAGAACGGAAGCTACCGAGGGGCGGATGGGCAGACAAATATCGTGACTCTTCCTGCTTTGCCCGGTGTATGAAACCGGAAAGGTTGACTGGGCACAGGTCGAGCGGCAACAGTCGGGAAAAGGAGAGAGCTGCATCTGGGGGCACCTGGGCAACCTGGCAAACATGGCAATTCCCCCGTCTAGTCTGTTCGGTGAGGGGTGATCGGTCCGTTGCGTCAGTCATCCATTCATTACTTCTTCCCCTCCCCCGCCAGCTTTTTTTCTTCTTCTCTTCTCCATCTTCCTTCATCTATCCCTCCCATTACTCATCTTACTTCAGTATGTTGCTTCCTTTCTTCTCTTCATCCATCTACTAACAGTCTCTTCAGTAAACCGCAATCATGGTTGTCAACGTCGGTATCAACGGCTTCGGTCGCATTGGCCGCATTGTAAGTCCCCCCTTATCGGCTTCAAATGGTCCAGACTAACATTACCCCAGGTCTTCCGCAATGCGTAAGTGACCGCTCCATTAACCATGGCCTAACCTCTCCTCTAACCAATGTCTATAGCATCAACGACCCCAATGTCGAGGTTGTCGCCGTCAACGACCCCTTCATTGAGACCCACTACGCTGTAGGTACACCAGCTACAAACATCATCAGCCCATACTAATCAATGCGGGAATATAGGCCTACATGCTCAAGTATGACAGCACCCACGGTCAGTTCAAGGGTGAGGTCAAGGCTGAGGCCGACGGTCTCGTCGTCAACGGCAAGAAGGTTACCTTCTTCGCTGAGCGTGACCCCTCTGCTATCCCCTGGGGCAAGGCCCAGGCCGAGTACATTGTCGAGTCCACCGGTGTCTTCACCACCCAGGAGAAGGCCTCTGCTCACTTGAAGGGTGGCGCCAAGAAGGTCATCATCTCCGCCCCCTCCGCCGACGCCCCCATGTACGTCATGGGTGTCAACAACACCACCTACACCAAGGACGTCAACGTCCTCTCCAACGCCTCTTGCACCACCAACTGCCTGGCTCCCCTCGCCAAGGTCATCAACGACAACTTCGGTATCGTTGAGGGTCTCATGACCACCGTCCACTCTTACACCGCTACCCAGAAGACCGTTGACGCTCCCTCCTCCAAGGACTGGCGTGGTGGCCGTACTGCGGCCCAGAACATCATCCCCTCCTCCACCGGTGCCGCCAAGGCTGTCGGCAAGGTCATCCCCGCCCTGAACGGCAAGCTGACCGGTATGTCCATGCGTGTCCCCACCGCCAACGTCTCCGTTGTCGACCTCACCTGCCGCATCGAGAAGGGTGCCTCCTACGAGGAGATCAAGGCTGTCGTCAAGGCCGCCTCCGAGGGCGAGCTCAAGGGAATCCTCGGCTACACTGAGGACGAGATCGTCTCCAGTGACCTGAACGGTGACGACCGCTCCTCCATCTTCGATGCCAAGGCCGGTATTGCCCTGAACGCCAACTTCATCAAGCTGGTCTCCTGGTACGACAACGAGTGGGGTTACTCCCACCGTGTCGTTGACCTCATCTCCTACATTGCCGGTGTTGACCGCAAATAGGAATCAGGACAGCGTCCTGGGGCCAGGAGTGTTCTTTAAGGAGTTGAAATCCATTGCTGTTTAGGTCTGTTTTGTGGACTGGGCGCAGAAGGGATTCCTTCACCTTGTAGAAAAAAATCAGATGATAACGTCATTTAATGAATTGATACATTTCACGTTTACTCTTCTCTATATCTTGTATAGTATGTAAATTGGTAGAATCCTTGGTTTGTAAAGACGGTGACATGATGTACATTTCGGGTCTAAGGGAGCGACTGGAAGTATCACGCAATACAAGCAGCCAGAAATTGAGGACCCTTGTAAGAGCACATGAAACAGCTACCCAGTGGACGATTGGAGGCATCAAAGCTAGATACAGGACCTGAGGTGGCATGGTAGACAATGAATCCATGTCTACCTTGTCCTCTGTTAAGCTTTCTAAGTCTTATCAGGCAGACTTGTCTACTCGGCCTATCTCACATATTCAGAGTCTAGACCTAGATCTTACCCCCAGCCTCCCTCGGTAGAATTCTAATGATCTTCCTCTCTTTTATGAATAGGGTCCTATCAGGAAATAATTGACTAGTAATTGACGTCCAAATTCAAATCCTTGGCGCTCTCATACCCTGCACAATATATGCGATACATTCTTGTCATATACAGCACCGTTGGAAACCAGATTAAATCAACTCATAGTCGCCCAAATAGTTATGATAGATAGAGAGCTTGTAATTTTAATGTTTCCACCACTACTCAAGCATTCAAGAGTATAATCTTCTCTAAGATAATTGCCCTATGCTAAAAACCGGTCGAAAGGAAGTCTTTTGACAGCGGGATGGGCGCTCTATAAAGTAGACAAAGGTGAGTCAGCTAATACTAGATCAATTTAACCCATCTATACTACACCACACTAGTCTCCACTAAGCGGCGGTGATGGAAAGCGGTAAGACTGGCAATGTCTGGCAATAAGAAAGACAGGCCCAAAAGGGATCCAACATACACATCCATTCAACCCTCATTGTCCTTGACGATTGGACTAATTTATTCTATTGTGCCCACCACGTGAACATTGGTGTTTACACTACTTGTACGCTCGATACACTTAGCGGTCACTCTCGCTTCACTCCGTCCCGAGCTTGCACCTCGGTTGGCCTATTTAAGGCAGGAGGCGATTGTATACCCTACAGTGCTTGCGCATGTCACATCGAAGTCAGCTTTCTACTTCTTGGTTAAAGTTTCTACAAGTATTGGGAACATTTCACCGACCTATCTACCTCTTCTTCTCGGGGAAGTTTATGAGTGAAAGAAGCATCAACCAAGCCCTCAAAAAGCTTCATTTGTCTAGGGCAACTATTAGAGTGCCCAATGAGACTATAAGCGCCAAGACCGACAACAAAGGACTTTCAGATCATGGACGAGGACGAGGATACCGTTATGGCCAACTCCCATCCCCTTCCTTCCCGCACATCCATCACCCAAGTCCCTCCTCCTAACCTAAGCAACCACTCTCACCCCAATTTTACCCCTTTCATCCCCCCTGCTTCAGCATACCCAGATCCCTTAACAGGTATGGTCCGGCGAAAGCCTGGCGAGGGCGATAGCACATCGACAGATGATGCAAAGCGCGACAGCCCAGTCGAAGCCAACTCAGACTGGTCTGGCTCAGATGAAGAACTGACACTCAGATCGGGCTTGCCTGTGGCATCGCTAGCCACAGGTTTATGCTATGATCATCGCATGCGTTGGCACTGTGAAGTCCATCCAAAAAGCGACGTTCATCCAGAAGACCCTAGGCGCATCTACTACATCTACAAGGAGCTGTGTCGCGCTGGCCTTGTTGATGATGAAGAGTCATCCCAGCCCCTGGCGCCCAGGACTTTGCAACGTATTGCTGCGCGCAATGCTATCGAAGAAGAGATCACTCTCATCCATACTGATGCACACTATGCCTTTGTGCACAGTACTAAAGGTAAATAACACATGGAAATGAGTTTGGATAGACACTAACGCGTCCGATAGACATGTCTGATGATGTACTCATCAAGTTGGAGGAAAATCGCGACTCCATCTACTTCAACAAACTGACCTTTTCGACGGCCCTCTTATCGGCTGGAGGGGCGATCGAGACTTGCATGGCTGTTGCTCAACGCAAGGTCAAAAATGCTATTGCTGTCATCCGTCCGCCGGGTCATCACGCTGAGGATGATGCCGCCATGGGGTTTTGTCTTTTCAATAATGTCTCGGTCGCAGCGCGTGTCTGTCAGAGGAAGCTAGGAGATGCTTGCCGCAAGATCATGATCCTTGATTGGTATGTCTTCCTCGTATATTGATTTGGTGTTAGTACTGACCAGACTTAGGGATGTTCATCATGGTGTGCTTCAACCGTTGAGTGTTGGTGATAGTATTTGACTGACACTACATAGGAAATGGCATCCAGAAAGCTTTCTATGATGACCCCAATGTTCTCTACATCTCTCTTCATGTCCACCAGGATGGCCGTTTCTACCCTGGTGGTCCTGCTGGAGACTGGGATCAGTGTGGCTCTGGTCCTGGAACTGGAAGGTAAGTGTTTCGAATTAACGCAATGACTATTCACTGACACCTATTAGGAATGTCAACATCCCTTGGCCTGATCAGGGCATGGGCGATGCAGACTACATGTTTGCTTTCCAGGAAGTAGTCATGCCCATAGCTCAGGAATTCAACCCTGACTTGGTGATCGGTGAGAATATAGCCACTTTCTGGAAGAAATCCACTAACAATTACAGTCGCGGCTGGTTTTGATGCTGCTGCCGGTGATGTACTTGGTGGTTGCTTTGTCTCACCATCTTGTTATGCGCAGATGACCCACATGCTCATGACTCTTTCTCACGGGAAGATTGCTGTCTGCCTGGAGGTATGTTCCATTCATTCGGGTAATTGTTTATACTAACCTCATCTAAAATAGGGAGGATACAACTTCAAGTCTATTTCAAAGTCGGCCTTAGCCGTAACCAAGACACTCATGGGCGAGCCTCCAGAACGGTTGGCGAAAAGCTCTCCCACGGATGCAGCGGTTAACACAGTGCGCCGGGTGAGAAGCATTCAATCTCGGTACTGGAGCCGCTTGTACCCTAAGACAAGCTCTCACGCAATGTCGGGAGATCGACTTCACGGTATGGACCTTCGAGAATCTCCACCTAACAGCACTGACTGATCTTCTAGACATCATCCGGATTTTCCAAGCGAATCAGCTTTATGAGACCTGCAAGCTCACGCCCCTCTTCATCTATCGCACAGCCATTTCGAAGTCATTTGAAAAACAGGTTCTGGCAAGGTAAGCCGGTCACAGCAGCCAATTTCTGTACTTGAATCTCACATCTGGCAGTCCCAATTACACAGAGGAAGTGCCGCTGGTTGTCATCTTCCATGATCCGTAAGTTTTCTGATATGCCCAACAACCTTAGAATGGACTTAGTGCTGACTATGTCTAGGCCTGAGATCATGGGCGAGGCTCATCCAGTTACTAATAAGCTGGAAACCCACAACGTGTGGATGGTAAGTCGTCCCATAGGGTTGTCGCAGTTGCAACATCTGCTAACCAAGTCCAAAGGCTGATTCTTTGAAGGATTACATCGCCTGGATTGTTGGCAAAGGCTACGCCGTGATCGATGTTAATATCCCCAAGCACATATCGAAAGAGATTGTAAGTCAAACTGATTTGATGTATTCACCTGATCTGACAGTTCGTAGCCGTCTGGTCGATACGAGCCAGAAGATGAGGACCGGCCAAATGCCACTGAGGAGCTGGCCGCATACTTGTGGGACAACTACATCGAGTAAGCGAACTTATCCAAACTCTTGGCTATCGTAAGCTGACACCCATCTACAGTGCCAACCAGGCCACCGAAATATTCCTTCTCGGCGTGGGCAATGCGTTCTACGGTGTGGCGAATCTCTTGATCAACAGGGGTAAGCAACCTAACAGAGTCAAAAGGGTAGATCCCCGCTAACAATCGCAGAAAACCTGTACAAGCGTGTCAACGGCGTTGTCTCCTTTGTGGCAGAGAGCCCAATCCGCGCGATCAAATCAAGCACCCAAACCTGGCTGTCCAAATGGTACAGAGAGGTAAGGCATCATGCACTACACCCATGGTACACTCAACTAATATTCCTTCCTACTCAGAACTCCATTGTCTTCGTTGCAAGCTCGCACGGTCTGTGGTCTAGTTCAGACAGACGTCACTCGAAGCGATATGGCCAGCTGGTGCAGTCGCCGAAGTCGGATTTGAGCGATATGCTGGCCGAGCATAAAGAGCAGGTTTACCAGTGGATTTCCGATCGTGCTGATCCCCATGAGAGCGATGAGGTTGAGGAGTGACTTGGTAGAATTTTGCATAGAGCTACGCGATGTTTGGAGTATTTTCATAGCCTTAATGAGATATTTGAGCCTGTTATCGTTGGGAGTAAAAATAGGTATAGGACATGGGAGTACTTGCTTTGCCAAGATACTCTTGTTCGAAACATCTCAAGCCACCCCGTTCTTGTGTGAGGCTTTGATGTCAGCTGCAAACCCCTCTCAAGGCGTACATCAGATATGAGACATTCAAGGCATCTACTTGTCTCGGCTATACCAAATGCAACATTTAGTCTAGCGGTGACCATATTTCACAAAGTATCAAGGTCAAAGAGTATACGCTTTGCATAATAATTCTTATGGAGATCTGCAGTCAGATGTAACTATGTCTCACTTCCCCGGAAAAAATAGACGCACTCTTTGTCTTTCTCCACCCTTGGCATCAGATACTATTTCTAATGGATCACCAAGTGTCCAAATGCATCGAAGCGCTGAGACATCGTATTTCTTCCTTGCTTCTGTGGATTCTCTTTCTCGTATCTACCTCATGCCGAAACTTGACTCGGTCCTTTCAACCAACCTCTTCGAACGTGAGATGCGGGGTTCAGAGGATGAGATGGCTACTCCAGGTCCTGTGATGGATGCCCTAACCGAGTTGGCGGTTTAATGCCTCGCATCAGTCCCTTTGGGATGCGAATGTCTCGGATTTGGGGAGTGTCATGTTTCTGTATGGCATGCCCGCTTAGGATGAAGTCTATACTCCAATCGCTAACAGAGCAAGCAGCCAACAAGGTTAGTTCATGGGATACTATACCCACCAACAAAGGTATATAAAGGACCTCGAGTCTGCCTCGAGAGAAAGCATTCTCATCCCAGACAGTCATTTACTATACCTCAAGCGCAAACATCCAAGCAAAATGCACTTCTCAACTCTCATCGTGTCAATCGCAGCCCTGGCCCCCCTAGCCAGCGCTGTCGGCAACGCAGTCGTAACAAATCACTGCAACTTCCCAGTCTACCTCTGGTCCGTCGGAGGCAGTGTGGGACCCCAACAGACAATCGCGGCCGGAGCCAGCTACTCGGAGCCCCTCCACCACGACGCAGCCTCAGGCGGCATCGCGCTGAAGATCACCACCGTCGCGAATGGCCTGTACAACGGCAGTCCGCAAACCAACTTCGCCTATACCCTCGACCCCGGCACGGTCTGGTATGACCTATCCGATGTCTTTGGTGACCCATTCTCCGGAAAGACAATGGTCGTGCGGCCTTCCGATACCCAGTGCTCCAAGATTTGTTGGGCGCAGGGCGTTAACCCCGGCGGTAGCCAGACTAAGAACTGTAACTCGGCTTCGAGCATTACTCTCAACCTGTGTGCGGCGAAGTGTTAAGGGCTTGGGTTATAGTTGACAGTTGGTAGTTGATACCGCATGGCTTGGGGAGGGGCAGTGCCGAACGTGGGGGAGGCTCTGGGGATAGGATGGGACGTGGATCCAGTCAAGACCCTAGCATTTGTATGTAGTTGATTATAATGGGAAACCAATCGATTTAAGCGCCTGTGGATTCCTTAGTGTCTGCCTTGTAAGGGCATGCCGCCACCGTTGAGCAATGAGAGGCCGAGGGCGCTTGTTAGGGCTCCGCGATGGCGCATCACCGCCCCCGGGCAGTATCCGCTTTATCATCAATCCGAGGGACTTCGCATTTCTCTCATCTTCTACTATTCTCCTACATTTATAGACCTCTCGAATACTCTGTATATTGGCATATTTCTTCGCATTGGAATTCGTGGTCACGTCATTGGTATTTCCCCTTGGCAACGAATGCCTCCAAGGTCCTCCACTGCACTGTGTCACAAAGGTCTCAGTCTCAGTCTCAGTCTAGCTCGTCCTTATCCCGATTCGTTGCGCGCTCCTTCACGATCCTTGTCTTTTCCGATATTCTTTAAACATCGGACTTTCTCTCATTCTACTCCTACCTTTACGACCCCCTCAATCATGGCTCCAATCGAGCGCATTGCAGAGCATCTGGAGAAGCCAGAGCTTGACGATCGGTCATATCGCGTGATTCGACTGCCAAACAAGCTTGAGGCTCTTCTAGTTCATGATCCCGACACCGATAAGGCCAGTGCGGCCGTTAACGTCAACGTGGGCAACTTCTCCGATGAAGACGATATGCCAGGGATGGCTCATGCGGTAGAGCATTTGCTGTTCATGGGCACCAAAAAGGTAAGCCGGGATTTATTTCCAGTATTTGTTGGCTTGGCCAAAGTGCTAATTAGATCGGCAGTACCCCAAGGAAAACGCATACAACCAGTACCTAGCGGCCCACTCTGGTTCATCCAATGCATACACAGCCGCGACGGAAACGAACTATTTCTTTGAAGTGTCCGCCACGGGCGACTCGAGCCCACCCAAATCCAGCGGAGATAGCACCCCTGCCGAGACAAACGGGAATGGAACTTTGCCGAATGGATTAGAGGGCAAGTCGCCTCTTTACGGTGCTTTGGATCGATTTGCTCAGTTCTTTGTTTCGCCACTGTTCTTAGAGTCGACCCTAGACCGTGAGCTGCAAGCCGTGGATTCGGAAAATAAAAAGAACCTCCAGAGTGACCTGTGGCGGTTGATGCAACTGAACAAGTCACTTTCAAACCCTCAACATCCTTACCATCACTTCTCGACTGGTAACCTGCAGACGCTGAAGGAAGACCCGCAGAAACGCGGTCTGGAAGTCCGCAGTGAATTCATTCGTTTCTATGAGAAGCATTACTCGGCCAACCGGGCGAAACTGGTTGTCCTCGGACGAGAGTCTCTGGATACACTAGAGGAGTGGGTGGCCGAGCTTTTCTCCGATGTCGAGAACAAAAACCTTGCTCAGAACCGGTGGGATGATGTGCAACCTTTCACGGAAAAGGACATGTGCACTCAAGTATTTGCCAAGCCGGTCATGGACACCCGATCTATGGACATGTACTTCCCCTTTCTTGACGAGGAGGATCTCCATGATACCCAGCCTAGTCGGTACATCAGCCATCTGATTGGCCACGAGGGTCCAGGCAGTGTGCTCTCTTACCTCAAGAACAAGGGTTGGGCCAACGGTCTCTCTGCTGGTGCCATGCCTATCTGCCCCGGATCAGCATTCTTCACAGTCTCCGTGCGCCTGACTCCTGATGGTCTGAAGGAGTACCAGGAAGTTGCCAAGGTGGTCTTTGAGTACATTGCTATGATCAAGCAGCGTGAGCCAGAGCAGTGGATCTTTGATGAGATGAAGAACCTTGCTGAAGTTGACTTCCGATTCAAGCAGAAGACCCCAGCTAGCCGATTCACCAGTCGCCTGAGCAGTGTCATGCAGAAGTCACTGCCTAGCGAGTGGTTGCTGAGCGGATCCTTGCTGCGACGTTTCGATCCTGCATTGATCAAGAAGGCTTTGGATTACCTGCGCGTTGACAACTTCCGTCTGATCATTGTGTCCCAGGACTTTCCGGGCCAATGGGACCAGAAGGAGAAGTGGTATGGTACTGAGTATAAGGTCGAGAAGATTCCTCAGGAGTTCCTGGGTGGAATTCAAAAGGCCCTGAAGTCGACTGAGGCTACTCGCACTTCCAACGTTCACATGCCCCACCGCAACGAATTTGTGCCGACGAGACTCTCAGTGGAAAAGAGGGATGTTGACGAGCCAACCAAGACCCCTAAGCTGATCCGCCACGATGACCGCGTACGCCTGTGGTTCAAGAAGGATGACCGCTTCTGGGTGCCCAAGGCCACTGTTGAGGTGACGCTCCGCAACCCTCTTGTGTGGGCTACGCCTGCCAATCTTATCAAGACCAAGCTGTACAGCGAGCTGGTGAGAGATTCTCTGGACGAGTACTCCTACGACGCTGAGCTCGCTGGGTTGGACTACCATCTTTCGGCCAACATCCTGGGATTGGATATTTCCGTGGCCGGTTACAACGACAAGATGTCTGTGCTGTTGGACAAGGTCCTCAACACCATGCGCGGGCTGGTGGTCAACCAGGACCGGTTCAACATCATCAAGGAGCGCTTGACGCGGGCATTCCGCAATGCCGAGTACCAGCAGCCTTACTACCAAGTCGGCGATTACACTCGGTACCTCCTCTCTGAGCGTGGTTGGGTCAATGAGCAATACCTCGAGGAGTTGGAGCATGTGGAGTGCGAAGATGTCGTCAAGTTCTTCCCCCAGTTGCTGGAGCAGACCCACATCGAAGTTCTGGCCCACGGAAACCTCTACAAGGAGGACGCCCTGCGCATGACGGATTCCATTGAGAAGATCTTGGGGGGCCGCTCTCTTCCCCCGTCGCAGTGGTACCTGCGCCGGAACATGACGCTACCTCCCGGAACCAACTATGTCTACCCCCGCACACTCAAGGACCCAGCCAACGTCAACCACTGTATCGAGTACTTCCTGTATATCGGACTGTTCTCTGATGACATCCTGCGCTCGAAGCTACAGCTTTTTGCCCAACTGACCGACGAGCCCGCGTTCGACCAGCTCCGCAGCAAGGAACAACTCGGATACGTGGTATGGAGCGGTGCCCGCTACAACGCCACCACCCTCGGCTACCGAGTCATCATCCAAAGTGAGCGTACAGCACAGTACCTCGAGTCGCGCATTGAGTCCTTCCTGCGCGAGTTCGGCCCCATCCTCGAGAAGATGCCCGAGGATGAGTTCGAAGGACACAAGCGTAGTGTCATCAACAAGCGCCTGGAGAAGCTTAAGAACCTGTCTTCTGAGACCAACCGCTACTGGTCACATGTGGGATCTGAGTACTTCGATTTCCTGCAACACGAAACCGATGCTGCGAACGTGCGCACCCTGAGCAAGGAGGATCTCATCGCCTTCTACCGCCAGTACATCGACCCCTCGTCAAAGACGCGCGCCAAGCTCGCCATCCACCTGAACGCGCAGGCCGATGCATCCAAGCCATCAGAGAAGCGAACCGGCCTAGTCAGCGCACTGAGCAAGCTGCTCGATGTAGCCGGGTTCACCGTGGACACCGACCGTCTCGCAACAGCTTTCGAAGAAGTCGAAATGAACGTGGTAGACAAGAGCCAAGTCATCTTCGTTATCAAGACTTTCCTCACAACAGAGATGAGCCTGTCGCCACAACAGGTCGAGCCCGTCATCGAGAAGCTGGAGCAAGATCTCGGCCCCAAATTGAAGGAACTGGGTCTGGTCTCTAGCACTGATGAGCAGGGCCAGGCTAATGGCAATGCGTCGAAGGCTATTGTTATCACCGATGTGCCTACTTTCAAGGCTAGTCTGCCTGTCAGCACGGGACCTGTTCCTGTGACAGACCTGACGGAGTTTGAGGACTTTGATGCGAAGCTGTGAGCATGTACACGATACAATGGGTGGTGAGGTGTTGAGGTTGGTGCATGGGGGAGTGGGTGTTAGGTTGAGGATAGCGATTTTACAGAATCAGACATAATTTAACTTATTATTATTACACAAGATCATGAATTATCGCCAAATTTAGGAGAGTAAGCTCTTGTTGAATGAGTAAAAGATGCGCGTACCTTTGGAGTTATAGTGAAGCCCGGAGTTAGTGGCGACGACGCCGAAGTAAACATAGTCCCAGGGGCGGTGAGCCGATAACGATACCGAAAAGCTGAAGCTTCTCTGGAGCTGCGCGCGCATTCTTACCTCCGCATCTGCGTCAAAATGGCTACCACCACAGCCGCGGCGATTCAAAGCGCCCGTCCGTGAGTACACCTTCATATTATGATGATATTGCGCAAGCCATTTCACAACGTGGACTCTCTGACTCTTTTGACCCCTAGACCCATCCTCCCCAAGGACTTCTCCGCACTCCAGCCGGAGACTATCCGCTTGTTTCCCTTATCGAACTACACCTTTGGCACCAAGGAGACTCAGCCTGAGGAAGACCCTTCTGTGCTTGCCCGTCTGAAGCGGCTGGAGGAGCACTATGAACTCCATGGTATGCGCCGGACCGCTGAGGGCATCCTGGTCTGCCACGAGCACAACCACCCCCACGTTCTCATGCTTCAGATTGCCAACGCTTTCTTCAAGCTGTAGGCACACCTTTGACATAATTGCGCATCTCAGAGACTAACGATCAATTCCAGGCCTGGCGATTACCTCCACCATGAGGACGATGAGATCGACGGATTCAAGAAGCGCCTGAACGAGCGTCTGGCCCCCGTGGGATCACAATTCTCCGGCGAGGGAGTCAATAGCGACTGGGATATCGGCGACACACTTGCACAATGGTGGCGCCCCAACTTCGAGACCTTCATGTACCCATTCCTGCCGGGCCATGTGACACGTCCCAAGGAGTGCAAGAAGCTGTACTTGATCCAGCTGCCCAAGAAGAGTGAGTTTACTTTCTGTTCACTTCACGCGAGATCGTCACTCACCCATTCACGATGTAGAGGTCCTCTCCGTCCCCAAGAATATGAAGCTGCTCGCCGTCCCCCTCTTCGAGCTTTATGACAACACTGCCCGCTACGGCCCCCAGCTCTCTGCCATTCCCCACCTTCTTTCGCGATACAACTTTGAGTTCGTCGACGAGAATGACAATGTTGTTGCTGTAACCCCCGGCGGTCCTGATCAGCAAATCCCCCGTGCCAGGGTCCTTGCTGGTGGTGATGGGGCAGAGGATACAGGCATGCTTGATGTTGAGGAGGGACAGAAGATCGAATCTCACCACTAGCCCGGTAAGGGGTCTGATTTTAAGCCAGATTTAGCCAGCGCTTAGCCAGGATTATAGCCAGTGCTCCTACTTACGAAAAATGATAGTCAGCGTTCCATTTTCATGTCTTTCTTTGTAGAGCTAAGGTGGACTTTGCGGGAAGTGATACTCTTAACCGTTTAGCTAGATCTTCCTATACAACCGTGAAACCCTCCGATACATCTCCATCAGAGATAAGATCGACGCCAAGCCACACAGTCAACCACATCCCGACATGCAATGCAAAGAGCCCAAAAGAGCCATAACCTCGGCGGAAAATCAACCACCGGGACCCGATGCCACTCCGTCCACATCTGCACGGCACATCCAGTGCCTGACATTTGACATTTGACAATCTGACATCTGCACCCCTCATTCTTCACCACAGAAGAACGCCAAATCAGCCATGCCAAAGCCAGCTAGAGAAGCTACCCAGTCACGCACCCGTGGATGTCCCCGCATACTTCGCTTGGCAAGTGGCCTTACCCAAAGATGGTTATATCCGAAGCATTCAAGACCGCAGCGATGCCGATCATACCGGAATCCCACCGGTCACGCGTGGAATATGCAATATGCGTCGGAGAATGTTCTGAGTCTGGCATCGAGATGTCCGTCCTCCGTACCCCGCTCTCTCATGGGAGAGGAAGAATTCTGGATCTATACGTCTGATGGGGGTATATAAAGGACTGGGCCTGGTTGGCTTTGGGATTTCCAGGCAAGCAGGTGAAGAGTTATACTTCCGGAATATTAGTCTCCATTATGCATCTTACTCGGCTTGGAAGTGTTGCTGCTCTGGCGGTCTTGGCTGTTGCTGCTCCTGCTCGACCTGTTCCTCGAGGTATGAACCACCGTTCCCCTGCAGTATTGTTCTGTGGCTGAACGACATAGATGTCTCGACCAATGTCCTTGGTCAATTAAACTTGTTCGCGCAATATGCCGCAGCATCATATTGCACGAACAATATCAACTCTACCGGCGATGGACTCTCTTGTCTAGAAGGAAATTGTCCATCTGTCCAGTCCGCCAAGACAACAACTATATACGAGTTCGATGAGTATGTCTGCTCCAGCCTTGAGTTATATACATGTACAGTACTGACAACCACCAGATCCACCGAGTTCGGTGATGTGGCCGGATTCCTCGCTGCCGATCAGACAAATAAGCTCCTCGTGCTCTCCTTCCGGGGAAGCCGAACACTGAGCACGTGGATTGCGAACCTGGACTTCGGCCTAACCGATAGCAGTCTCTGCAGTGACTGTGAGGTCCACGGTGGATTCTGGAAGGCATGGGAAACAGTCGCGGACGACTTAACGGCCAAGATCAAGACAGCATTGACAACTTACTCGGGCTACACACTCGTCCTAACCGGCCACAGCTTCGGCGCAGCCGTTGCCACACTCGGAGGCACTGTGCTCCGGAATGCAGGGTATAAATTGGAATTAGTAAGTGTCACCACCAAGCATGGACCTTGCTATATATCCAGTCAATAGAGATGACTACTAACAGTGAACCCGCAGTATACATACGGCCAACCCCGACTTGGCAACAAGGCATTGGCAACATATATTACAAACCAAGGCAGTCTCTATAGAGTGACACATACCGACGACGTGGTTCCTAAATTACCACCTGCATCTTTTGGATTTAGCCATCCTAGCCCTGAGTATTGGATTACCAGTGGCAATGATGTGACGGTGACTCCTAGTGATGTGACTGTTATTGAAGGTGTGGGTTCTAAGGCTGGGAATGCTGGCACGGCGAATCCCGATATCGAGGCTCATAATTGGTATTTGGTTTATATTGATCAGTGTCAATAGGAGGGTATATTGGAGACACTGTATAGACTGATGGTGCTGGCACCTGTGCATGTCTATATGGGTTGTATAGGTTATCACTGTTTTGGTAGTTAGTCTATCAGATGTTTGGATATACTTACCTTGCCCCAGTGTACCTATTTTGTTGTCCCTTTACTCTAAGTATAGCGTTGAATGATAGCAAGGATGTTCCCAAATGGACTGATCTATATCTCAGATACTATCCCACATTAAGAATTCCGTGCAACATATAGCCAATTCTTCAGGTATAGCTGTATATGTACAACTGGCATACTGTCCACCAAATTATCCATCAAACATAAGATGACACTTAAGAAACCTTCGATGGTTACACGCAAATCCATGTGATGGTAGTAGTAATCATCTTAGCGCAGTAGCTTCGACGCTAAATATACGAAGCGATCATTTGCCTAAATAGTGTGGAGACATGGAACATGATCTTGAGTGTAATAATTGAATATAATATAGAATCAATTAAATTTGTGAGTAGAGAAGTAAAGAATATAATTGTAGGTGAGCCAAGCTCAAGTGGGGACTCAACCTCTCCCGCGAATTATCCAGCACCGCAACACTCAATGACCTGATCAACTGGGCTTATTGCCCTCTACACCGTGATGCTATTTGCCCCCAGCGGTCCACAGGGCCCTCGCCGTCGCAGTCGGCTCAAGGCCATCCTCCTCACCATCTTCATCGTCCTCGCCCTGTATCTGCTATTCTTCTCCCACACCACCAGATCCCCCGTGAAGGCCGATACAGGCAGCTACGCGCAAAAGCATGGATCACCAGCTACATCAAAATCAGCAGACGAGCTGGCTCGTCCTGCTATTTGGAAGCGCAAGGATATGGTCGTGGCCAGCATGAAGAGTGAGGACACGTCATGGCTGTTGGAATACTTCCCAGACTGGACGAAGAGCATCTACGTGGCGGACGACAAGCACGCACCGTTGACGGTGACGCACAACAAAGGGCGCGAGTCGATGGTTTATTTGACGTGAGTCGTGCATCCCATCGCGCAAGCCGTAGCTAACCCGAGCTTCTGTCTAGCTATATCATTGACAATTACGACAACCTACCGGAGACGATGCTCTTCATTCATTCGCAACGATATCAATGGCACAACGACGACCCATATTACGACGGCGTTCCACCGCTACAAAATTTCCAGGTCCCCTATCTACAACAGCAGGGATACGTCAACCTGCGCTGTGTCTGGACACTCGGATGCCCGACGGAGATCCGCCCTCTCACGGATACCCACCGCGACGCGGTACATGCGGGAGAATATTTCAAAACGGGATTCATGGAGCTATTCCCCGGGGTCCCAATCCCGGAGGAAGTGGGCGTATCATGCTGCGCCCAATTCGGCGTATCCCGCTCCAAGGTGCTGGAGCGACCGCGCAGCGACTACGAGCGCTTCCGCACTTGGCTGGTGAATACGACATTGCCGGATGATGTGAGTGGACGAATTATGGAATATTCATGGCATAGTACGTTCTCAATGCCCGGATACCGAATAATGGATGCTAATAGTTGATCCAGTGATCTTTGGAAAAGAACCCATTCATTGCCCCAATGCAGCAGAGTGCTACTGTAAAGTTTTTGGACTGTGCGATCTGACCTGCCCATGGGAGGGTGGTTGCGACGACCGCTATGCTCTGCCACCATTTTCCTCGCTGCCAAAGGGATGGCCGAATATTGGATGGAAGGGTCAAGCACAAGACACATCGCATGGATTGCCCGAGACTTGAATTTGATTAGAATATAATGCATAAGTTGGTCGCGCATCTTTCACAGAATTGATTTGGCGTTGGATCTATTCCTATAATTTGGCCTCGAGCGCTGATAAGTATTGAGAATATCTACGGGTTCCATACTTGATACCTGGAAATGGTCCAATTGAATATATACACTGGAGTAGTTGAATTAGCTGTTGACTTACACCGATGTACTGATGCAAGCAGTATAAATGTCCCAAATGCGGAGCCGAGGCTAACTTCTCCCCGCAACTTGACGCAACTCAACTTCGCTTTTCAACACCAAAATGCTCATTATCGGACTGACCGGCTCAATAGCCACGGGCAAGACAACCGTATCAACCATCCTCTCAACACCCCCCTACTCCCTCCCAATAATCGACGCAGACGTCCTAGCCCGCAAAGTTGTCGAACCCGGCACAGCAGGCTACAAAGCGATCGTCAACTATTTCGGCCCAAGCACCCCAGACCTCCTCCTAGAAGATGGCACCAACCCATCCGGCAAACCCCTAAACCGGCCGGCACTGGGCCGACGCGTCTTCGGCAGCACAGAAGAACGCAAACGCGACCGCGGAGTCCTAAACGGAATTGTCCACCCGGCCGTCCGGTGGGAAGTCTACAAAGCCCTGATCTACCATTATCTGCGCGGACAATGGGCTGTCGTACTTGATGTCCCGCTCCTCTTCGAAAGTGGTATGGATCTAATCTGCGGCACGGTGATCGTGGTTGGTGTTCACGATCCAGAGATCCAGATGGCTCGTCTGCGAGCCCGAGATGCGCATCTTACCGCTGAGGATGCGGAGAACCGGGTGCGCAGCCAGGGTGATGTGCGCATGAAGGCTGCGCAGGCTGAGTTCCGGGGAACGACGACGGCGCGCGGGGTGGTGGTTTGGAATGATGCGGATCGGGAGGAGTTGGAGCGGGCGGTCAAGGGGGCTATGGCTAGTATTGCGGCATCTAGTCCGCGGTGGTGGGCTTGGGCATTGCTCGTGGCGCCTCCTGTTGGAGTTGGGGTTGCTGCGTGGAATTTGGTGGTGAATTTTGCGACGCAGAAGGGGTGGGAGAAGAAGAAGAATGAGGAGAAGGCGAAGTTGTAGATTCGGGCTTTGTTCTACTGGAGATGAGTTGATACCTTGATTTAGAGTGCTGTACATATTGTAGCTATACTAGGAACTTGCCCTAGAACACGCCCGATAGATGTGAATTGTTGTAGTTGTATTCTGATGCTGTCGAATAACAGACGAGAAGGATATGTTAATACCGGACGCCGAGACCATGCTATGCTAAATGCTTCAAAGTGCTCATAGAGACAAGATGCGATTACCTGCTCTTGCGCTTCTGCTTCTTATTCTTGTCCGGGGCTCCCATCAAAGACGGTCTGCCTCCTGACCCAGAGATACTGGTTAGTGTCTTCAGACTCTGGTCCGGATGAAGTTTGTTCTTCGCCTCGAGACGGGCTTCAAGTTCCTCCTGCTTTTGTTTTTCAATTGCCGCCTGCAAGATAAGTTAGTGATAGGTCTGCAACAAAGGTACGGTAGGTCCCACCTCGCGCTCTTTGCGCTTGAAGTTTCCATATCCACGTCGTCCACCTTGACTGCCATCGTCCAGCGAGTCTGCGGCCAATACAACAGGCTGCGGGGTATATTGGGAAGCAGCCGGGATGTCCAGCACCCATTGTGTCTCACCAGATTCCGCAGCCTGTCGCGCAATGGCTTCCTGTCGTTTTTCCTCCTCAGCAGCAAGTGCCGCTGAGATCGCTTCCATTTCAGAGTTGCGAGGGCTTTCGGCCTCGGTTGAGACGCGTCGGCGCTTGGGAGTGGGTTGGCTGGAGTCGCCAGTGCTTTCAGCTTCCTTGGCCTCTTTTGCTTCCTTCGAAGCTGCAGCACGCTGCATGAACTGTAGACATTGTCAGTTTTATAGTTGTGGATGGGTGAGACTATGGTCATACCTTCATCGTCAAGAGATTCGACGACATAGTTTTCTCGGGCTTTCCAGCCGGAGATGAAGCGCCCATGATGTGCAAATAAGTTTAACCAGGAATCTCAATTAAGAAACAAAAGTGAAGCAGTGAAGCGCAAAAGAATCAAATCACACGGCAGAAAACCCAGGCGCCGACGAGCTACCTAAAAGAAGAAAGCGGTGGACACCCACCAAACCACACCTCGCGGATTATTCAGTGACTTCAAGGTTGCTCCCTGCCAACCGTCTTTACCCTCCCTCCATACCAGGTACCCAATCTGCCCAGCATGATGTCCTGTGGCCGCCGAATTGCGGCCTTTGTGTCGGTCCGCCCCTTCGCTGTCCGCGCCTACTCTTCCACCGTGCCTCGTCTGTCCGACAGCGCCGTCGCCAACGACCCAACCCCGCGGAAGCAGACGCCGACTGTCTCCGGCACCAATGCCACACCCACTGACTCTTTCGGACGTCATGATGGCACCCTGCAGGAGTCGCCCGAGGTTGGGGAGCGTATCCGCAGCATGCAGGCCCCGAACCGCGCTACCACCTGGGCTGCAAACCAGCAGCCTCGCGAGCAGGCCATGGTTGGACCTCGCTTTGAGCAGACCATCATGGAGAGCCAGGTGTGTTGCCATTGAATAGGATTGTTAATGCAATTGCGCGGTCGATTGCACTGGCAATGAACGGAACAATGACTGACTTCTGCAGCCTCAACCATATGCCGCCATCGACCTCATTCACAGACAGCACGTCCGCTGGACCAAGTCCAAGATCGTCAGCTGCGACGGTGGTGGTGGCCCTCTCGGCCACCCTAAGGTCTTCATCAACACCGACAAGCCCGAGATCGCTACCTGTGGATACTGTGGTATTCCCTTCGTATGCTCACTCACATCTCCCTTATCGACCGCAAAATCGGTACTAACATCTAATACAGGCCCAAGAGCAGCACCGCGCATACCTGAAGTCCCTGCCCGCCACCAGCTACCCCCTCGAGCCCACCAACGACGCTGCCGATGTGGACGAGTCCCAGCGCGTGAGCGAGGGCGGCCTGGAGCAGCGGTAAACTAGCATCAATTTCTTTCTGTCGGCGTTGATCATTTTTGCGTTTTACAATTACAATTGGTTTTGGGCCCGAGGCCGTGTACAGAATATCGATCAATGGATCCGCTGCCTTTCGATCGTGTGATGATGTTGAAAATGGTTGTACTCTGACTATGGTCTAATATAATTGGATCATATGCCATGTTCACTCTCTTCACGTTTGTTTTATCTTGCATCAGTCGTAGCCACCCGTGTCTAGTTATAATAGTTATCCGCGCTCTGCGTCCAGTCACGCCTTCTGGCCCTGGATCGTCGCGACAACCTTGCGGCTGTGCCGACTAGTCCGGAATTCCAGGTACCAAATACCTTGCCATGTACCCGTTGCCAATCGACCGTTCGAAATAGGAATGTTCACGGAGGCGCCAATGAGCGCAGATTTGATATGAGCCTAGTAGAGTTAGCATTTGACCATACAGAAACAAGCAGATAGGATGAAAACAGAGGGAAAAGAAATAAAACCGATCCCGATCCCCAAGAAAAGATCTCAAATGCCCCAAAATCACAGGTACATGAATGAACTGAACATACCGGCATGTCATCATCGCCTTCGGCAGAATGACGATACAAATTGCCCTTGCGGTCAGTAGGCGCAATGCGATCCAGCGCATCACTCATATCAGCGCGCACATCGTCATCCCAGTTCTCATTGAGCGACAGCGCACAGCTGGTGTGCTGTACGAAGAGGTTCAGCATGCCGACCTTATAGTCGCGGATCTCGGGCACTTCGGAGAGGACATGGTCGGTGATGAGGTAGGAGCCGCGGCTGCGTGCGGGGAGGGTGAAGTTCTTTTGAAACCAGGACATTTTGTGGAAGTTGGGATTGTAGGACTTATTGAATCTCGTGAGGAATCGTGGAGGGGAGAAAAGAATGTTGGGTGTGGGGTTCTGATGTCATGGGCAGAGCTGCCTAAGTATAAATGTTTACTTTGTCAGTTATTTTATTTATACATTTACTTGTTTACACGACTGCGATTTGAGGTTGTTTCTTATTGATATACATATGTACCGGATAATTCCTGTAGTAGTATAAAAAGTAATATACTAAAGTACTTTCTCAAATGTAAGTGGCATCGCTTTGTTACGTTCTAATGCCTATCTCTGCAAGAGGTTTGGAACGCCATTAGCTACTTATCAACCGCTCCCCTGATATTAAAAGCCTAGTGGGCTTTCATAGCCAAGTCCAGATCACACCCGAGGTCGCCTAGTAGAGTCACCGGGGGAGGGTCTGCCGACATCTCCCTCGAGGACGTGGGATTCGATGGGATGTCTAATACAAGCAGTACATCCTCTTTAGCGATCCATCCACCACTTAGGTCTTCTATGGCTGTACCTCCGATATATAACCACTGTCAACGAGTGCTATTCTTCGACTGCTACAGAAATTGCACTATTTTCACTTCCAACCGCTACTCATCACATATAACAAATAGAAATAGATGTTAAATTGAATTCACTGAGGAATACATGTACAGTGGTGAAGAACCGGAGAGCGTATAGAAGGGTAATGAAAGATAAGTATTGTTGAACGTCGGTCAACAAGTGTTCAGCCGCGCCTGGCAGATACTGAGGAGGACAAGACCGGTTCTGAATCATGTCTACACCTTGCAAAGTGTTCAACGTTGGACCATTTTTGCGCAGGAAGAATAATTGATAAAAAAATCAATAAAATCAGCCTCGACCCGCGGGAAAGGAATTAACGGTTAAGGGAACGATGCTTACGGGAAGTCAAGGTCAGAACGAATAGGCCATAACTATTTATATGGCTGGTGAGGAGCACGCATTTAGGCTGGTCATCTCAACCGGCGCAATGTCTCAACAACAGCCTATTACTGCAGCGTGGAGCTACGCAAGCCCACCGTTCATTGCAACCCCATTCATTGTAATGGTACTCAATATATGAGGCCTAAATGATTAATTAGACTTCGTTGGCGAAGTCCCTCGGAAAATTGATTATTTAGGTACCGGAAGTTGGGACCCTGGCTGTGACGCCTTTCCGAGATGTCGCCATCTTGATGAGGGTGCCCAAGAGCATATTGAAAGCACTATTGAGCTACCTTGGTTGCAACTATAGCACTTTATTTTTAGGTTTGAAGGATGCGATCAATGTTTCTGAGCTAGCATATAAACCCGATGTAGTTGAACGTATGTCACTGAAAGGTATACAGCCAGTGGAGCCAACCGAACTTCTTGGGGGGACTGAAGTCCGAACTAGTAAATATAGGTAAGACCCAGTTAAAAACCTGCCGGTCACTTCCAGAACGAAAGTCTCAGTAGAGTCGGCAATGGTAGTGGTAGTTTCCACCTTTCTTCCTGCTGTACATTGACGCCCATCAACTGGGATACAGCAATCTGCGCTGTCCGGACACCGTAACTCATGTCTGCACACGAATACCGCGGGATCTCTACAAATTGCCCAATCAAGCCAATATTGCAGGTATTCTGGGGTATGATCTCAGGGCGGTCGCGCGAGGAGCGGATTAATAGAATACTACTCATTCTGGGCATCACGCGCGGAATGGTCACAGTGCGCCGAAGAAGCAGCTCGGGCGGGATGTCCAGATGCCTGAGCAATTCGATCATGATCTCTGCACCCGAACACTCGAGCATTGGCTTTTTCACGTAGTTCCCTTTACTCCATGGAAAGAGTGCAAAGCCCCAAAGAACGCGCACGTTGTACGGCTGCTTGGAGAAAACCGGCTGTGCGGGAATACAGATATTCAATTTCCAGTGGCATTCGGGCACAGAGATGAAGGCTCCAGCACCGACCATAGAATGTGATAATGCACTGATCTGCTGGAAAAAGGCCAAATCCTCAGTGGTGATTGTGAAGGATTCCATCATCGATTCAGATTGACGAGTGCAGAAATTATAGGGATTGCCAAATTTGCGGTGTCTGGTTCCCAACTCCAACCATAGTGACCAGTTTTCGTCCAGTTCCTCGCCCGTTTCCATCTGCTGCCAAACTGGCTGACGGTCGTTCGTTCCTGTTGCTGAGCCGGAGACAGTAGATCCTATTGTCATGATAACAATGTCGTTTTGTCCAAGTTGTTTCCGTGTTGCAAATCCTCTCTGAATAAGGTCCAGTTGTGAAATGGTTTGGTGATCTTTATGGGGAACCGTCGCAATATCGGCAACCTTCGTGTCAAACTGGAAATCCACCCCCAGGCTATGGAGAAATCGATACAGGGGCAAGAGGATATATTCATGCTGGTAGTATCCCGTAATATCCATGCAGCTCAAGATACTCAGGCTGTGGAATTCGCCGAGGTATAGGCGGAGGGAACGCCTGAATTCTGCTGCACTATGCCATGGCTGAAAGCCGAATCTGGAGCATTTTGTATGACATTAGTCAGGCCTGACAGAAGAGCGTCCTATTAACTCGGAAGGAATCACGCACTGAGCAGACCAGACAACCCAAAAGGAGCTTTGGAAGAAGCTATGGGGCAAACAGTCTTGTATCTGGTTTCTCCCTAAAAGTTTCTCCTGCTTCAGAATAAACCATATTAGCTGCAGTCGTTGTTTAGAGCTCAAGTTCAATGACTTGGTAGGAATATTTCTCAGACTGCTATTCCTTTTCATGAAGCGTGTGCGATGATCCTGCGCGACCGATGTTCGGTTTATCTCTGCGTTCTGGATGTCATCCAAAACAGTCTTTCCCTGGTTCTGGATCGAAGGGACAGAAGCAAGAAGCTTTTTCAAGGGTGCGCCGACCGGGACAGGTAAACAGCCTGCAAACTGGTCATATCCGGTGGCAGAGTTACCCTTCTGGTGCACGACATTTTCGATTGATACGTGGGAATCTAGGACATGTACCTTCGCGGCGGGTATCTTGACATCCTGAACAAGATACAATGCGGCCGCAAAGGATGCGGTCCCACTCCCAAGGATCCACGCCTCGGTTGTCTCCGGAGAGCGCTTTTTTGGAGCTCGAAGATCTTTCATGTTCATCCGAGACTGAGGAATGCTGTGACAGAGTATGTACGACGAGTCGGGTTGTTATAAACTGTCACGAGTAAAATAATCGAATAACTAAAAAGCGGGTGTAAGGATGATTAAATTCAATTTCCCTTCAATGTAGCTGTTAAAATCTAGACCCCCGCAAAGCTTTGTGTATAACTGATGGTCGGCATAGAAGGTGGTAATAATGACGACATCTCGAACGGTCTTTTGCCGGAGGATACGTGGTCGACCAATGTGGTTCAATTGACCGGAAAAGGAGATGTACGGATTTGTGTGCTGCATCAGCAGTTTATACCAAAATAGGAAATGAGCTGTGATGGTTGAATAAAGCGCAGTGCGCTAGTCATCCTACGTTCCACATAAGAGAACAAAATGATGATACCGCCTTTAGGGCATATCGAATCATAGGATATCTGTACACACTAGTAGCGAGGATTTCTCAGCAGGTTTAAACCAGAAAGCATCAGCGCCGATGGCGATCACTCGGTTCGGACGGGGTTCTCCAAGTGGCTTTTTTGGACAATATAGGGCTGAGCGCCGGAGACTGGTATATCATTAGAGCCGATCATACTGGAAATAGCTTAGGGAAACCTTCTTTTGGCTGTGCAAATAGGATTTAACGATTTCAGGTCCGCTTTTAAGTCTTATGCAACGTCACCTACCCGCCTGGTGTAACTGGTCTCGACTTGATAACGTGCAGATTGATCAAAGTACTATGTCTCTGTTGTCCTCATGAGAATAAGCCACAAGAATGATGTTGACCTATTGTTGGCCCATCGCGGGGTTATGGTCCATCATGGATTGCCGAGCTACTGAGAGCAGTTGAGAAAGTGTAAGTAGGGCATCTTTTGAAATAACCAACTTTTGTGGTTAACAAAGACGCAATAGTGATCATTTTTTCTTCTTTTCATTCACTTAAACTCAATAGAAAGAGAATGCCCTCGGTATGTGACCAGACGACAGAACTGGCCATACAGAACGGTATGAAGATGTCAATATCGATGATCATCTCGCAGCTTCCAAACTAGCAAGCTTAATAAAAGACTTTCGTGCCGGACTATTCAATGAAAATCACCAATAAAAGTACGGCATGGAAGAGAACAATCTAGTTCTTGATCTGTTTCAAGACAAGGATCGGGCGCAAAGCTTTGGTATCACCCATTCCACCGTGAGGCTGGTCACTCTCCTGGAGCATAACATATAAGATGTGATTCTTAAGAACTAGCGGCGCAATAAGCTGGTAACTTCATTGAATTATTGCGAAAAAGCATCCAATAAATGCATTCAACAGTTTCACGTTGTTTTAGGACGCTACACATGTAATTGAGTTCAATCTCTACAACAGACGTGTTTCCAGTTGCAGTAGGTGGGACGGCGATCCGATTATAAGCCAAAGCCAACATCTCCACAGTTTTGGGGGCCTTTTTCTCTTTTCAACTGAGCAAGTATGTACCGACAGTTAATATCCACAGAAACCCTCATGTGCTCGGTATCTCCGGAGCTAACGCAGGCCCCATCGGCACGATGTGACCCTCAGCAGCTCATCACCAGATTAGGAAATAGGTCTCTCAGCCGGGTCCCTGGGCTTCCGAGTACCCTGTCTCACTGTTAAGGTTTTAAGAAGAGTATTTAGAAGGGAAATAACTCTGTCATCAGATTAACAACCCCTAAAAACCACCCCAAACTGCACAATGCAGTTCAAATGGACCGCAGCACTCCTCGCTAGCCAAGTGGCAGCCGTCACCCAAATAACCAACAATGAAATGCAATCCCTACTCGACGTAGGGGGCATAGACCTAGCAGACCGCTACGCACCTCTATGGTTCTTCGGCCAAGCCCAAAACCAACCACCATGCTACCCAACCTGGGCATTTGGCGGCTCACCCACGACAAACGATGTATACGACGATAACCACAAGACACCTGGAGCAGCGCAATGCGATTATCCCAACGTCGGGTGTAACTGTCGAAACCCGGGAGTTGGTATTGGAAATGCCGGGCCTGCTTTTCCTGTTTATTATACGTACCGGCAGTGCAATGAGAGTGAGGTGCGCGTTGTGTATAACCTCTTCTATGAGAAGGATGGGGCGAAGTTTGTTGGGATCAATACTGGACATGACTAGTAAGTATTCTTTATTCGAGTCCTCAGCGGAGGGTGTTCAGCCGCTTAGATCATTCTAGTGACTGGGAGCGCGTGGTAATCATCCACACAAAAGATAGCAATGATATGTGGGCTCCATCGCGTGCACTCCTCTCCGCACACAGTGGTTACCATAACCTTGCCTGGAGTGATATCCAAAACACATTGACAACCGACGAGATCAACGCGGGCGACGCGAAGGACCCGAACGGCGTGCGGAACAACGACCATCCCAAGGTGTACGTGTCGTGGTCGAAGCATGCCAACTTTGACACGCGCAACACCGGATGGAATGATCCGGCAAGTCAATCGCTGGATGATGCGTACCGTAGTCAGGATTGGTGGTATTTTGTTGATCCGCAGTATTATGTAGGTGTTTCGTGTTCTGAGTTAGGTTGAAGAGGTATACTGATAGCGATATAGATTCGGGCTGATGATAGTACGGAAGCTGGGAAGGCCATTGGAGCTGCAGATTGGGGGAGTGCGAGCAGTAATCCTCCCTCTGTGCAATCTGGTGTATGTGATGCTTCGTAGAGATGGAATGTCGAGTTATGGTGTAAAAAAAGTGTGCACACTTGTCTATTCGTACACTGCAATGCAATCAAAGGCTATCCGTTTTTTGAGCCATATATATACATACAACAACGCCATCATCTTTCATTTATTTCGCTTGTTTGATCAGCTTTCCGTGGTCATCAAGCTGATCACTGGTATTATCCATGCCGCTCCATTTGGGGAGACCATCTGGAATATCCAGCATACGGTCCTCGTAGAAGATGTGACATCTATCAACAATGTTAGTATCATGGTGGACGGCAGCATAGCATGTACATACGTCGGTTTGAAGACTTCCCTCTGCTCTCTCTGCTCATCACTCGAGCCCTCAAGTTGAATCAACTGGGGAAAGATAAGACAGACATTGCGACCTTCGTCCATGATAGGCGTGCGACAGTTGGAACAAGACACCTTGGTCGGTAGTTCATATTCCTGCGAGTGATGCGTAGAAGAGTAAAACACCAACCCCCCAGGACCGCTTGTAAATAGCATATCCTGTTTATGGAAGATAGAAGCCCATTGGAAGGGCGCACCATGAGCAACCTGACATCCGCGACAATGACAGTATTTGGCGTTGAGAGGTCTATCTTGTTTGAGGATGTAGGTGTTCTTCCCACAGAGGCATTTGCCACGCCACTTGATCGGTCCAAATCCCTTCTCACTCTGATTCTGGTATGGGGGACGGTGTTTCCAATGCTCGTCTTCGAGGGTGTGTTCTGGGGCTCGGTTGGTGAATGCTGGACAGGGGATGGGATCCTCTGTCGTTTCAATGCCCATTTCCGCCATGATGAATGTTTTGTGTGTGTTCTAGTGGAAGCGAGAAGCAAAAAAACAAGGAGAGATTTATATATGTAGGTAGAAAACAGGGACAGCAATGATGTCAGGTCATTGGCATCCTACCAAGGAAGTATGTAGATCGTCTTCAGTTGTATAGTCCCCCCCTGCGTGGATAGTGATCAATTACCCCTTTTCTTCGAGTACACTCTCGAGAATCGTGTCGAATTGATCTCCATCTATCGCAAATCTATAAAATGAAATAATGAAGCTGGTGATGTGATGTCATGTCCAGGTGTTACCGTGGAGATCATCTCCGTATAGATGGGACCTATCAGAGAGACAGTTGACAGTTAATAGTCAACAGAGACAGAAGTGATTGATGGTTGACAGTGGCAGTCAAATGGCAGTCTATTCTACGTACGTATGTATAGACTGTCACTTCATCACATCCTGTACTTCGTATAGACAGGATGTGACTGGATGAAACAGCGCTTAGCTGCCGAACTTCGGTGTTTCATCCCTGCGGGCCATGCGCTTTGTGCTTTGCACTTTGTGTTCCCCCGACTTTGATGTCTCCCAACCAACTCCCATGGGTTTATTCAACAAACTGCGACGCAGTTCGCGACGCAGTAACAGTGCGGGTATCGCGACCGAGCCAGAATCTCCACCCCGCATCGGCCGAGACTACACCAAACGACTCCCGCGACCAGTGTTGGCGCGCATCTTCGCTCTCGTATGCCCTCACACCGTCGATAATTCCTACGGCACATCAGAAGAATCCGCAAGCGATGGCTGCATGCTCTGCGACATGCGCGATCTGGCGCACTGCGCCCTAGTGAACAAGCGGTGGTTCCTAGACGCGCGGAAACTCCTGTACGAAACACCACGGTGGCCTCAAAGCCCAGTCTAACCCCAATCCCTGCAGGTACACAAACGTCCGCATCGACGCGGTGCACTACTGCGAGCTCGAAATTGAATTAGCCGCCAAGCGGAAACGCCGCTCCTTCTTCGACCGTAATGGCGACCCCATCGATGCGCCCCAGGTACGACTAGAGCTGTTTATGCGCGCGGTGCGAGAGGCGCAGGGGCTGGGCAATATGGTACTCTCGCTGCGCATGCCGTATATGACTCGCGAAGCCAACAAAGCCAACATCGCCCGCACGATCTCCGTCCTGCCGAATCTCCGCTTTGTTGATCTCCCGGTGGGTCTGTACAGTGACGAGCCGTCCTGTCTACCGTTGAAACAAGAGTTGATGGTGCGATGTCCGGAACTGCGGCGGATGAGTTATCGCCGGGGTGCTGAGGGGAGTTTTGCGCGTCTGCCTGGTTCCCAGCTATGGATGAACTTGGAAGTGTTGGAGCTGTCCGGGGTGCAGATGGAGGTTGGCACGTTGCGCAGCGGGCTCGCGGCATTCCCGCATCTTCGTGAGCTCACGCTCGAAGAGATGGACTGGCTGGATGACTCGGCGTTTGCAATGACTGTGCCGCTGCCACCGTTCCCCGCAGTGCAGTCTCTTACACTCCGAGATGCCCCTAGTGTGACGGCAAGCGGGCTTGCCTCATTCCTTTCCATGCCGAGAAACAAAGCAGCGCTGCAGTCATTGACATTATCGGCTACCGGTGTTGTACCATCGCAAGTCCATCACATTCTCTCTGCAGCTCCTCGGCTGGAGAGTCTTTCAATTATTCAGGAAGTTTCCCGCTCATTCCCCATGGAGCAAATCCCTCCCATGGCGTCGAAATCACTGCGTCTCCTGCACTATGAAATTACGTCTCAAACTGAGACTCACGGGATGCCACCGGTGGTGTCCTCATATTACGGCTACCTGATCTCCTCGTTGATGTCGCGGGCTCTACCAGCTCTCCGCGATTTGTATGTCCGCGATGCCGAGTTCCCCGACACCCTTCTGCTTATGCCTCCACCCCGACTCTTCGGCGGTGGTGATAATGGTCCCCAGATGCGAGGAGGCCTGTCGCAGCCATTGAACGTGTACAGCAAGGGTCTCGACGAGTTAGAGTGGAACTTCACACCCTACGACCCCGAACCGACTCATGGACGCCGAGATTCACGGACGCGCCCGGTGAGTTTCCACGAAGCCCAATTGAGTCGATCTTGGGGTGGCGATGCGCGCAAAAGTGTGTTGGTCGGCAATGGCTTTGGTGGATTCCTTGCTGTGCCCGCTGAAGACGAACGCCCTCAAAGTAGTCAGGGCCACAAGCGACTGAGTCGGGGGGATTTGTGGCGGTAAATGATTAGCGAATTGTCCATGGAATCATGATATACTCCGTAAATAGGGCAAATGTGTTCATTGTTCATTAGATATCTTATACATCAGTCTCGGGCCATCCCTGCGGTAGCACCAGGCCACGCCAAACCCACTGATTCTGCATCTCGGTGTCGGTCATATTACAATACCCATAAGTGCGACAATAACATTCCTTCTGATCGAGACAATACTGTGCCGGTTTCCCAAAGATCACTGCAACAATGACAATTAGTTATATATAAGCGAGAGCGAGAGCGAAAGAGAGACTCACTATGCCACGAATACTCCAAGATGCGCCCACTAGTCCCCGAATCCAGATCAGTCTCCATCACCCATCGCTGCAAGCGGATATAATCCTCCAAACTGCGCTCATGGATCTTCGCCTTGGACAGCGCAAACTGACTGCAACACGGCGTTCCCACGACTTCCGGCACTTCCGCACGCGGAAACAACTCCATAAACCGATCGGGATACTGCACCGCGGTGGGATGCTCACGATCGTCGGGTCTTTCACGCAGATACCGCGCGGGCTCCAGTTCACTTGGACATCCGACCATCCATGTACAGCGCAGATTCACATATCCGGCTTCCTGTACGAAGGCGTGGTTGAGGTGTTGGATTGAGATCACCGAGTCGTAGAGTGGGTTGTCGACGTGCCATTGATATCGTCCGCCATGGAGGAAGACGGAGACTTGTGGGAGAGTCCAGTATCGGTCAATTATGTATCTGTAGTGGTGTTATTATCGAATCCAGGGTATCCGAAGTCATAGACATAGACATAGACATAGTCCTCGTCTTGAAGACATACGTGAGATAAACCATAGCCTCATTCCCTTTGTTCATAGGCACAGTCAACCCATGCTTCGCATCCGCGCGATAGATATTCGCCCTCCAATCTGGTAAATGCTCCTCGACCCAGGACATATTACTAGCCTGCATGGCAGCAAAGACCAATTCCTTCTCCGGGATCGGATCTGGGATGAAGCGATCGCGATCGTTGTCGTCGGCGAGTAAAATGTCGGAGAAGGACCAGCTATCTAGTTTGATCACTTCATGGTCGAGGATTAATTGGTAGGAGAGGAGGAGGAGGCCTGCTGCTAGGCAGAGATAGAGGAAGACTCGCGACCGGGGGGAGGGGCAGCCGCCGAGGGAACGTGGACGGTTCATTTCATTGTTTGAATAGAATGGGATTATGCAGGAATGAATATAATGGAATTAATAACGGCAACAGACTGGAATATTATTAGAGGAATGGGAGAATATACGCCAAAGGTAAACCTACTGCACCTATGTATTGGAGCCGGTTCCGGGGCTGACGTATATGGGGGCCACTCCCACGGTTACATACTATTTCGAATAGAAGTTAATCAATTCTGGGCGCTAAAGGATATGGTGATATCGAATGATATCGCGAGATGAAGTAGTTCGCTCCACTTGAAGCCACTTGCAAGGGTCCAGACTGTTATCGAGCGGACTTAGGGCTGAAAACGGGTTCTATACTGGGTTGACTTGGCATACTTGGCATACTTGGTTTACTTGGTTTACTTGGAATAATTATAGAAAATCTATATGTAGTTGATAATTCACTCTAAACTGTGAGGAAATAATAAGGAAATAAAGAAAGTATCTTGTCAGTGATATCACTCAATCTCCAGAGGGCCCGAGCCGGAGCCATGCATAGCCCGATCAGCATCAGTCAAAGTCTCAACCTGGTCGCTCAGACCACCCAGTGAAATTGGGTGCTCTGAGCCACTGTTCTGCGAATCCTGATCAGTTTCAAAAAGCCGCCGAAGGTCATCATCACTCAGTGCCATATTGATAAAAGCCCACTGCACAGGAAGGGCATCAATCAAACTCTGAACCTCAACAGACAAGTCGATCTCGGGGAAAATCTGTACAATATGATTCGCCATCTCTTCGGGAGTAGCCGTCAGCGTATCCTCTTCAGCCATCTCAAGGATCTGACCTAGAAGGTCGACAGCATCTTCCTGGCGAGTCATGCCTGCCGGGATGAATACCAGTCCGTTTCCGTTTGTGCTGTCCCAGAACTCTTGCTCGAAGTCGTCAAAGCCTGGGGACTGTCTTGGTGCTTCTGGTCCAGTTGGCCTATTGAGGTCTCCCTCGTATTTGTAGGGGATTTTCTCGGGTTCCGGGGCTTTGACGCGAAAGATGGTGACGTCGTCGGTGTTTTTCCACTCGGAGGCAACTTGTTGGTTGAGGGAGGGGAAATTGGTCAAGTCAACTCCTGGGATAGCTAGATCAGAGGAAGTGTTAGCTTCTGGCTCAGCCAGAACTTCTGGGTTCAGCCATTCATGCAGGTCTACGTCTTGAGACTCTGTAATGGTTGTGTCATATACCTGGGCTTCAAGGTCAGCTATTCCATTTAGGAGGGTGTTCACAGAGGAGCTGGAAGTATCAAACAGAGCAGAGTTATGAGCCTGAGGAGACTGTGTCACTTCAAAGGCCTGTTGGGCTGAATCAGTTATATCCGCTCCAATGGATTGGCTGGACTCCATACCTTCGAGAACCATGGCCTCGGTGTCGTTAAACAACGAGTCCGAGTCGGTTACTGCAGCTGGGGTTGCTCCAGTTGGGCTATTGAACAAACAATCCAAGCCGTAATTGGCTTTAACTGGGTCACTGGTAAGATTCTGCAGCTCGATATCAAACTCATTAGCAGGAACGCTGGGTGTCTGGGTCTGAGTAGTTTGCAAGCCTTCGCTTATCAGTGCTAGGTCAGACTCACTCATTTCGGCCGATGTGAGAGGAGCGTTCATATACTCCTCCCAGTTAATCTTCTCTAGATCTATAGAAGCGATGGGTTCCTGCTGATCAGCGTTAGTGCTGAGCTCTTCAAGTGTTGGGATATGAGTCAAGATAAAGATACTATCAGAAACAACAGGGGCAGGAAAGTTAAACTGATATGCCTCTAGTGTTGTTGCAGAGCTGGGATCATTCATATCCGTCAGAGCGACGAAAGGAGTAGCCTGAGCTGGAGTGTAATGCTCATCCGTAGGAAATCGCACTGCGCTCTTTGTGGCCTTTCGCTGCCTCTTTGCAATTGGCGACCTTGTGTTAGTTGCAAGTGGTAACGTTGTGTTAGTCATTGACCTAGTCTGGCGACGGTTAGAATCGACAGAGTGCTGGCGCTTCTGTCCTCGAGGGAGTGCTGCAGGAACCACCTCTTGGATATCCTCGGGTGAGTCAGGCATGTCTGAATCAGAGTCGACCAACACCTGCTCATCCTTGAGGCTTTCGAAAGGCAGTGGCTGCAAGAACGTAGAGTACTGGTAGTTTGCTCGGCGCATGTTCGACTTCATTGACAGAATTTCAGGTCGATCAGTCAAATCAACGCATCTAACAGCTCGAGAATCACAGCCCAAGAACACCATTGGAACTTTCCTGTCAATGGTATCCAGAAACAGCCCTCGAGTCAGATGTACATCAAACTCAGGGAGCCTCTGGCGCAATTGAGTGAATTGCTGTTCACCGTAATGCTTAGGGCGACCCTTCACTGAAGTCCACTCAGGGTGCAGTCGGTAGTATCCGCACCAACGGAGAACAGCAGGAAGCACCAACTGAGGACGGTAGTCACAGCTGTTCATTGCCAACATGGGATAGCCATTGGAATGGTGTGTGACAGAACACATGCGGTCTTGGCTATACACCTGGCGAATAGCATGGCGCAGGACACTGACAGGAGCAGCATCAAGCAGGGTTCGGAATCTGACAAAGGCCAAAGCCTGAAGGTCTTCCATTCCAAGGAAGCCCGCAGTGCGGAGCATATCCAAATGGATAGACAGCAACTTAGCCAGCTGGGGACAGTTCAAACATGCCCGGGGGTCCTCTTGCACGTTATAATGGCGGAGATCCACTTTCTGGACCGAGTAATCGCCAGTGTAGAGGAATTGCAGAAGCTTGTGGACCTGCTCTAGACGCACAATAGAGGGCAGTAAAAATTCACTAACGTTTTGGTCCTGGTACTTAAAAGGGAACCATTTGGCTTGCCGGAATAAAACATCACGGTGTAGATCCCAGTAACTTACTCGGTCATCGCGGTGTACGAATCTGATATCAGAGGTAATAGTCTCGAAATATTTGTCCTGTTTCAATTGGAGTTCGGCCTGGCGGTCTCCAATCTCTCCAAAACCAAGCCAAACCTTTGGGAGACCGGCATGGGGGTTGCACTGGATTGTTCGAACCATGCTGGGTATTTGTATAGTAAACTAGACGATATGTTAGCAAGTTTTGCTTAGTTATATTGGTATCAAAGATGATTTGATGGTAAAGTGAAGATAATGTGAGTGATGAGAAGGGAATTGTCCGGGCATAAGGGCCTTATATACAAGTCGCCAAGGTTAGGACAAACTATAGTTCGAACAAAGACACTAACAATACCCTTTCGATTTTAGTACTTGAACAATAGCAACAAAGACAATAAGGAGTCTATGCAGTCCATAGTGTCCATTGATACTCGACACTTATCCCGTATCATCCTTTGTTCTTCGCCGTAGTGCGACACGCAGCCCTTGGAACCGAGTCGAGTAACAAGCCCTAATGGCTCAATTTGTGAGGGATCCTTACGCTCTTTCAGATGTATCTCGACGTAGTTATTGTATTTCTCGATTCTCTTTGTCACAAGCCACTCTGACCCAAGAAACTCTCACTTTCAAGTATCAGCAAACAATAAACTTGTCATTTGACTCCAGGAAAAGAACGATCTTTTTCTAGAAAAAGAGCCATTGTCCTCTTTGTTACCCTCTAACATTTCCCCTTCACCACCAGCACAGCCACATCATGGCTCTGCAAAGAAGCGCTATGCTCCTTCTTCACGCAACCCAAATCCTTACCCGTCCAAGCATCAATAACGTGGTACGCATCATGGCGCTTAAGCTCAGGGACCTCCTTCCACACCGCAGTACGAGTAGAAGTCCCATTCTCAGAGTTGAACATAAGAACCAATGTACCCTCAAGCGTAGATGAAGCACCAGACCAATACTCCGCAGGATGAGCAGGGTCGAACGTCCAGTCAGGATTATACCCCCATTTATAAGGATGAGCTGGACTTCCAACAATAGGATCCTGGTGGAAGTCAAGCAGATACTTGTTTTTCAGAATAGCCAGGTGCTCATCACTGATCGAGTCAAGCTAAATGTAAATTAGCATACGTCCTCATGTAGATAAACACCAGAATAGTACATACCGCAGTTCCAATAATCAGCGGAGACTTCATAACCGCCCAAAGGGCAAAATGTGCCTTATTCTCCGCCAGAGTAAGTTTACCATTCCCAACCTCTAACATATCTGGGTCTGGATGACCCCAAAAATTGACATAGTCCATAAGGAAGCTATTCTCATTTGCAATCTCAGAAATACGATCCCAGTCCGCTAAAGCCAAGTCAAGAGTCAGTAAACATAAACATCCAATGTCATCATGAGAATAAAACATACCGGTAATATCGCCAGACATGCGCCACGAATTCCCGGTCTTATTACCCCAGGAATTAACATCCGCCTGGCCCCAATCACAAAGTGAATAGAAGATCGTCCGGTCAACGTTCAGCAGTGCATCGCGCATAGCCGCGTAGCGAGTGTACGTCTTGGACTGCGTCCAGTCGTATCCCTCCGGCGCGGGATCATGGAGATCGGGGCAGGTGCCATTTGGGTAATTGCCATTGCCGTCGGGGACACAATATGTATAAGTGTCTGTCCAGCTTGAGGGGACACCGCAGTTGTCGTATTTGAGGTCTGCTACCTTAGATTTTGATTTTTCGGGGTAGAGGGAGTAAGCAGACTTACAGTCAATTCCCCATTCCGCGAAGGATTGTGCATCGACGGTCTCGTAGCCTAGACTAGCTGGATAACCAGCACAAGTAGTTTCGCCCGCACCTGACAAGGGTCAGAACTAGTCTTTTAATCCTCTTAACGAGATATAGACTTACTACTGTAAATACCAATCTTCAGCCCCAGATCATGAACCTGGTCTGCAAGACCAGAGATACCATCTGGGAACTTGGATGGGTCAGGAATAATACGATGGTCAGTTGAGTTGCGGGCATCTTTGATACTCCAGCAGTCATCGACTACACGCAGTTAGCACAAACTCATAATTTAACCAAAATATGCATGTCATACTATTCACATATTCATATCCCCGATCCTTTAAGCCCAGATTAACAATCTCATTCGCAGCCGTGAGGATTTTAGTCGAATTGATATCACAACCAAATGCATTCCACGAATTCCAGCCTAGGGCGGGGAGTTTACCCTGTTTTGAATTAGTAAACATTCTGGATATAGTGGGAGAAAAGGGACATACAACACCATCCTTCCTAACGAGAGCATTTGCTGATGGAAGCAAAGGCAGCGCAATAGCGAGAGACAAGGATACTAGCATCATGAAGTCAAACTAGAGTATCGTTCTCATTCTGGATCACAAACATTGGTAACCTGCAGAGCTTTATACCCCGGTCTCGTGCGGGGAATGTTTGAAGCGACCCCGGATAAATCGGTATACTTCATGGAGTTCCTGTATACCGCACGGAAGTTCCTGTATACCACACGGAGTTCCTGAACGGGGGGCTGCATTGTCGATCTTTATGGCCCGCTGGTTGCATGTGCCGGCCAATGAGTAATTCATATACACTCAGAGGGGTCGGAGGTCGTCGGAGCTGGCACAAAAGGGGAAGTGGAAGGCTTATTCGGTGAACAATGGCCGGATTGTTGCATCCAGAGTAACATGGGGCAGTCGGACGCTCGGATCGCTTGGCCGGAGAAGCTTCGGTCTTCGATGCAGATCAGAGCTGCTTAGGGGTATAGGGTTGAAGAGAATACTACATTGTGAAAAAAGGAAAGCTCTTTTAACTCTAACCATCATGATACATGTCTATCGTGAAATCATTAGTCGTACAATATATAGCGCGCCATGCTGCCCAAATGCATATAAAAAAGTGAGAATCACTCGACAAAGAAAGAAAGAGAGGCGGTTATTGAGCCTTGGAGCCCAGGATCAAGCCACGGGCCTGGCGGGGATCGGTGCCGAGGACAGTAATGAGATACTCGATGCTAGCCTCCGAAGCCAGACGGCGCTTCTCGTCCTGGAACTCCTGGTTGCACAGATCCCACGTCGCGGCCCGTTCCTGAGACTTGACTGTTTTGACGCGAATCTTGAACGCCGCACTGACCGGCCGGTGATCGGAGGCTCGGACCTCGTGTCTGCGGTAATCGAGTTGCTTGACGCGGCCAAGGCCACGGTAGAGAACGCGGTCGCACCAGGCGGGGGAGCGCTTCTTTTCGCTGGTGTCATACTCGTCCGTGCCGACGTCGTATTTATAGGTCGGCGCGAAGGTGATGGGGGACTCGGTGAAGCTGCGAAGGCGGAACCCGGGGTTCTTCCGCCGGGAGGCCAGTAGCTGGTCTCGATCTAGAAGTTTGGCGAGGTTGTTCTGGCGAATGGCGTCGATGATCACATTGCGAGGGATTGAGTCAATTCGGTAGTTCAGGTCACCATTCAGAATGCAGATTTCGTGGTCCATGATCATTGAGCCGTCACCACCACTGGCGAACTGATCTGTCCGCGCTGTGGAATTGCTTTCTGCAGGTAAGGACTCTGCTTCCAAGATCGCCGCGATATCGTTGTTTCGGTGTGCAGTCTGGGTCTGCCCAGCTGCCAAGTGACAATTCACAAAGCACATCGAGCTGTCATCTAGGATAAAGCGGAATACAAGGGCACCCTGATAGAATTAGACAACAGCCATAGAAAGGCGACGGGGGCGCAAACCTTGTTCCCATGCAATCCGCCCATTCCCCGCTTGATCTCCGAAGCACTGATGTTTTTAATATTGTGGCGTTCCTTGTGCTTGACGAAAACGCAAGTAAACAGTCCCACCATGTTCGCGGTGTGCAAAAGAACATAGGATTCCTCGAGAGGCATACACTCGTGAAGAGACCGAGTGAGATGGTCGATCCATACTCGATATTGACGACTCATATGTTCCTTCTCGCCGTTCTCCTTCTTCTTGCTTCCAAGGAGCAAGCTCTCTGTAGTCATATCAGCAACTGTCCACATATCAATAGATCAGGGAAACATACTAGCTGTGATCTTCTTGTTCTCAAGATCAACCAATTCTTGGAAACCGAAGATGAGAATTTCCGGCGGATCTTCCGGCGTGACGGCATTCCTGATGAAATCCGACGTCTTCACGCTCCCGGGGGTAACAGCGCCCGCGTTCCAAGTCAAGACGGTAGCCTTGATTTCTCGGAAACTGCAGTACTCTACGTCCCTCTGCTGCATCCGTGTATCTATTGTATGTTAGTAAAGCCAAATAACCAACAAAACGTAAACTTACCTAGCCAATCGTCCTCCAACATACCATCCCAAAGACGAATGCAATTATCAGTGCCAAGCGAAGTAACCTGTAAGCGGTTCATCGTCCAAACACTGCTTGTATCCAACACAAAGCCGGAGACAGGACTATCGTGGGCGCGCCAGTCCTTCTTCACAGTCCATGGGTTGGTGGAAACATCGTAAACATAGATCATGCCGGTCTTATAGGCAGCCCAAAGGTAGTCTCCCACAAATCCAAGGCAATTGATTTTGTAAACACTAACGTTGACCACTGCCAAGCAGGTATAGTCGGTGGAGGAGTAGACAGTGACCTTTCCATCTGCATGTCCCAGATATACCCGACCTCCTTCTCGCGTGGTATAAGTGCCGGAAGTTACATCGCCTGAATGCTGGAGACCAAGAGGCCGCTTGAAGACCTTGAAAGAGGCGTCTTCGCGGGCGTTCGGGCGATATATATGGACATCTTTTCCAGCTGCTAGCCACAGCTTGTCGTCCACGACCATGGAGAACGTGTGGCCTCGTGCTACGCGTTCATGGGCGCTGTGGTAGCTGTACTGTAGATTGGGTTGACCGGTCTCGTCTGGCATCCAGACTAGCAGCCGACCTTCATCGTCGAATGTCCACATTTCTTTCTTGTGTCGTAGTATCTGAATCACCTCTCGCCTGGAGGGGTACGAGCGGGTTGCCACAATAGATTGGCTCGGGATGTCGACTTCGTGAAGATCTCCAGCACTGGTGCCGAGCCAGATACGCTGACCTTCATCTTCTAATCCTTTGCCTGGCTTGAAAGCAAGCGACAAGCTTTTCACCGTTTCGCCATGGCTAAGGCTCATCACTTGTTCTCCAGTGGTAAGGTCCCAAACTCTAGTCAGATATCCAGTGGTACACACATACTTGCCGCACACAGCTAGCAAGCGGGTGTCATACTTCGTGAAGATCTCCTTCGGTCCGGATTTAAGACGAGGGGGTCGGCGGTTGGCGTTAGAAGCGTCAGGGTAGTCCGTACGAGAGATGGCAGCTTCTTCAGGCTGTTCTTCTTCTTCTGTGTCCGTTCGGGGTATACGCCGCTCCGGGAGTGATGAGGAAACTGGTTCACGGTGGAAAGATGGCTGCCGTTGAATTGGTTGCGGGGTTGATGCCTCAGACTGGCGCGGCTGAGTGGGTGCAGACTTGGCAATCGGTGTCATCTGTGCAGGGCTCTTTACACGCTGAGGAGGCTCCCACGGAGGAGAGAATCCACTTCGGCGTGGAGTTCCAGAGGGCCGGGGAGGAAGCCCAGGACGATCGTAAGGGCTATCGCTGGCTCGTAACCGTTGCGCTGAAAGAGGGGGAGCAGCAGAAGCAGAAGTGGGGTGTTGCGCAGGAGCAGATGGAATTTGGACCATCAAGGGTTTAGTTGCCCGTGAAGGTTCTGGAGCAGGGCGAGTCCTTGAGAAACCTAAATCTCTGGCATCATGTCTTGCATTAGAACTTGGACCAGGTGACCGGTCATCAAAGGAACGTCGACCCGGGGGTTCTGTTGTTGGCCGAGCCGGTGCCGGTCTGGAGTTTATTTTCCCGGTAGATACCGGCTTGGTCATAGGCTTTTCTGGGCTGCTCGGAGGGGTGCTGAAAGGTGACACACTTAGATCAGGAGAGGCTCGCTCAGGCTGAGGAGCCAAGGTACTGGTATCCGCATGAGAAGAGTTAGGGTGAGAGAACATGGCTGGCTTCGCAGGGATCTTCGGTTTAGATGCTCGGTTGGCTGGCGGTGGCAGCGAGCTGCTTTTCAATTTCCGTTCCGCAACGCTTCCATTTCCATTGACGGCTAGAGAGCTAGGCGATAAATGAGGAATTGAATCTCTTCCAGTAACAGACGATCCGAACTTCGGCGCCGGAGAGAGTGGCCGGGGAGGCGCGGGGGAAACGGACACTGATTCCCGCGGGCGATGTCCAGGACTCCTAGCCTTGCGAGTTTCCTGTTGCGACCAACAGTCCTCGCGATCTTGTCCGCGCGGCGGCGATTGAGGCGAATGAACCGCCAGCGTCGGCGGAAGTTGTGGCGACGAGCGTTGGAGATTCATAGAGATTGGCCGGCCATATCGTCTTCCAGAGAACCCACGATCCCGCGATCCCTCGCCGTTCGACTGCTGGTGCTGCTCCGATCGCTCATCTGTCTGGTTCCATGGCGAATGTGGCCGGGGCAAGTCGAGAGAGGCACGGCTAGAGGATCGTACCTCGTCGCCAGCTTCGGGTGTCAGGAACTGGGTTGCGGAGGCGCGCGGACTCGCGGCCGCAGCAGAGGGAGCTCTGCGATGAGATAGATTCTCGAAATGAGACAGCAATGAGGAGACGGGTCTCTGTGGCTGCATTCTAGTTAGTTCATTGTGTGCCACGAGACAGTTATGTATGCATACAGTGGGGGGACCATCACTGTCTGGCTGTTTTCCTGTGCCCGCCATGGCCATTATCGCGAATATTTCGCCGTGACCAGCTGAAATGGGTAGATCATAGGCGTATGGAAATTGCCCTGGAGGTTGACTTGTGCCACGGCAGAAGTAGTTCGGGAAGCTGAGGCTACAGGGATACCGTGGGGTTTCGGGGGTAAACCGGCGGCAACAAGCAGCAAAATGTAAGCGGCGCAAAGGCCGAACAAGAAACGAAGCTCAACAAAGAGACCTGAGTGTACTGCTTCGAAGGAGGGAAAAGGTGAAAAAGGTGAGAGTCGAAATGGAGTGGCGGGGAGGAAAGTGGAGGGAATCACGGGAGTTGGCGATCACTTGTGCCTGGCGTTCTCGACATCTTCACGTCACTTAGGTACGCACTTCAGAGTCCGCCATGTGGTAAGTCAAGTCATCTCTTGGATGTATAGATGTCTTCATTCCCCTGGAGATTGCCCTGGACAAAATTCCCCTGCTAACGTGTCCCCCGCTTTATAGTAAACACATTCTGAACGCCCAAGTGGCCATCCGCTCGCACTGCTGTACGCCCAGTTCGACCTCAACCCCATTCACAGAGAACTGACCGAAAATGATATCCAGGCCGGAAATGGTTTGACTGCGCCGAATGCCACGCCGAGAGCGAGTCGCACATGCTCCAGAAGAGCGCCGAGATGGTACGCCCCTGTTCTGATATGCGCATGATTCGCGAACTGACGATGGAATGATAGATCTTTGCATGCAAGAAGTGCAAGAAGTGTTTCCGCAAGGACGCGGCCGAGTTTGACGAGAGGTATGTAATGGACCGAAGCAGCCAAAGCAAGTGGCAGCAAGCTAATTCCACCCCTTTCTTAGCGACGAGTACTGCCCTCACTGTGATAACCACTTCGTCATTGAGGCCGTGGAACCAAAGCCTTCACTCCATGTTGAGGGTGAAGATGCCCGTATGGACAACCGGTATGTTGAACACTCAATATTCCAATGCGGCATAGGCTGACCATAACCAGTATGCTCAAGGATGAACGTGTTGCCCGAGACGAAGAGCGTTCTCTCTTCAACCTTCGCGACGTGTCGGATCGCATGGGTTAAGCAGTGCATAGGAAAGAACATAGAAGGCGTTGGAATTTCATGATGTTGACGATTTGGTTACTGTTTGATAGTTGATAGAAGATGATTTACAGAGCATCAATACCCGGTGTACAATACGAAGAGCCGATGTTTTTAAAACTTCATGATTTTGGATTCTCGTCAAGGAAGAGACCAACGCTATTTGTAAATTGAAACACATCATCCACGCACCCCGCGGGCTATGAATGCTCCAAGTCCAGTTAATCGGCCGACTCGCCGCCACCTGGTCGGGTCAGAATAGCTGCTGTGGTGGTCCCTGTCCGGCTCTTCTTTTTGGCCGCCTCCTCCTGCTTCTCGGTCTCGATGCTCTTCACGTACGACTCGATCTGGTCATCGGGCAGCATCTCGAGACGCTTGCCAGGCGCCATGATGGCGACCTCAATGTTCTTAGCACCCGTCTGCACAACCTCAAGCAGGGACTTGATGGTCAGCTGGATTGTCTGCTCGCGGTCCATGTCCTCCTGGTGGTGGCGTTCAAGGAATTCGCGAACGGTCTTGCTGGAACGACCGATAGCGTTGGCTTTCCTATAATGAGGAAGCATGTCAGTACTGATCTAGTAACACAATAGGCCCGGGATACACCTACCAGGCCGAGTAGATACCGGACGGCTCGGTCTGGTACAACCGCGGCGTGCCGTCATTCTTGTCGAAACCAACCACGAGCGTACTGATACCAAAGGGACGGACGCCACCACTCTGCGTGTATCTCTGTTGGACACTGGCGATATACTTTGTAATATATTCGATGCTGGCGGGGTCCTCGACAGTCAGACGGTGGGACTGGGCCTCTAGGCGGGCCTTGTCGATGAGAATACGGGCGTCGGCATTCAGTCCAGCGAAGGCGAGACAGGCGTGGTCATCGACCAGGGCGATCTTAGAAGGGGTAATACGGGTATCTTGGAGCTTGAGTGCGGAACGCTTTTCGCAACCGAGAACGACAATGTCCTTGCCTTTGACACCGACAGCGCAAGTTCCTAGGATCATCTATTATCAGCGAATGCACGTACTTATGAATCGCTCTACCGCAAAAGCAGGTAATGGACGAGTAAAAGCGGCCGGGGGAGCAGATAACAGCGGTCTCACCTCGTTTCACTGCCTCCATGGCATATTCAACCTGGAAGACGTGCCCATCGGGACTGAGCGGGGGTTAGAAATAAACTCTGGAGCTGGAGTTCTGTTCAAAGGCATCATACCTGAATACTGCGATGGGTTAGCATCACACAGCTCTGCTCGGGGTCAGGAGCAAAGGGAGCTGGCCGTGGGGAGCTAGCTGACTTACCTGAGAGAGCTCTGTCGTATCCGGACATTGTGAATCAAGGACGACAGATGACAGGGAGATAGAAAAGATGCTTCAAAATAGAAGACCGAGGGGATCAAGTAGAAGAAAGCAATGCAGTGGGCGTTAAGCAGTTGAGGTCAATTGGGATGGAGCAATGACGGGTTCCGGGCGGTGGACGCGAAAGCCAGCGGTTGCCTTCGGTACTTAACTCCACTATGGACACTTCATACTAAGTCCATGTACCTTTTGTATTCAGCAACAGTCTTACCAACAAGCTCAGAAATAGATGCTATACATGGCTATTCACAGGAATAAACTTTGGTATATCAGATAAAGCAGTACTACCTTTAAGCAGATCCCCATCCCGAATAAATATAGTCCATGAATCTATCTAAAGACAATTACAGAGAATACTAAAGCCGCTCAGACAAGTACAAATCCTCAATATGGACATCCAAAACAATCTTTTTTGCATTCACAGTGCTTCGATGGCCCCCGAAGAGATCCTCGATTCGATGCCGGCGTCAAGCTCAAAGTAAATCCCCAACACCCCAAACGGAGTCCAAGTATATCCCACCCAGATCAAGACCGTGAATTCTCCGACGCTTCCCATGACCGAATGAGTGCAGAAAGGGACGCACAAAATCTCTAAAATGCAATGCCAGAGCGACATAAGGCGCACAAGAAAGGGATAGGGGAACAAAAATACACCCTCCCCCAAGAGATAAAAACAAAAGCGCAAGATGGAATCAAATATGGGGAAACAGCTCCACGACCAAGATAAAGAAAACCAGAACCAGAACCAGAAAAAGCATCAACAACAGGACGGCGAGGCGAGAAAAGAAATTTCGACTTGAACACGCTACCCGCCTGCTCCATCCAACCCGATGCACCGAACCGCAGAATCCCTTATACAAAATGCGTATCAACCGAATATCAACCAACGCATGAACCTGCCACAATGCAGGGTTGCAATATGGACAACATAAGTGTGAGCGCCCAGTCTTAGGCGTGAGTAGGTACAGCTCTACCCGATTTAAGCGGGCGACTTGTTGGCACCAGCGCCATTGCGGCGAGAGTGAGGATCTTCAGAAACAGTCAGACCACCAAGGCCGCTCGACAAGAAGGCGAAGGGGTCACTGGAGCCGTCGGAGCCGTAGAAGGCACCGTTTGAAGCACTGGTGGAGGGCACACCGTGGTCTGCGCCAGTGAAGGCGGCCTGGGTGGCCGGGTTGGCGAAAGAAGCGGCCGAGTGTGAGGTGCTAGAAGAGCCGTAACCCGAGTTCATCTGGCCCATAGGGGGATAGGCACCAGGGGTGTTGCCTAGACCGCCAGAGGGCAGGGCGTAGTTGTTGGGCGGGCCGCCGAACTGCTGGCTGAAGCCACCGAAGCCTCCGGCGGTGGAGGCGAAAGGAGCAGGAGCCGGAGTGCTAGTCATCGAGTTGGGACCCATGTTGAACTGCGATGGAGGATCCATCGGAGATGGGAACGCTGAGTCGGCCACAACTGCAGCACCGGAGCGAGGTGCCCCGCAGCGCAGACAGTTGATGTTCTTCGCAAAGTTATGGTAACCACAACCCTCGGAACCGCACTTCCAGTCACCAGCACGGAAGGGGACAACCCCTCCGTTGCCACCCATACCACGCGAGTGACCCATACCGTGACCACCGTGGCCCATGTGAGGAGGCATCATCGATGGCGGGCCGTAGCCGTAGTTGTTGTAGTTCATTGGGTCGGGAGCGGCCGCCATAGCGGGGAACGAGCAACGGAAGCATGCAGTACGACGCTGGAAGTTGGAGAAGCCACAGGACGGGCAAGTCCAGTCACCAGGACGGGGACGGTTCTTGGAGGGCGGGAAGGGAGTGAGGATCTCGGCGGCGCGGTCCAGAACCCGGCTGGATGAGGGAGAAACCTCGATGGCCTTCTCGTTGAGTGCTCGGCCGTTCATACACAGGCTTTCGGCAGCCTAAGAAATTGTTAGCCGAAAAGAATAGAAAAGCGAGATAAAGACATGAGGATATCAGCGAGGGTAAAGGGAGATCCTATGTCCTAGTAAAACTCACCTCCTCGTGAGACGAGAAGACGGCAAAGCCGGTGCCAGTAGGCTTGTGCTGATCGGGTGTGCGCAGGGTCCAGAAAGCGATGGGACGGCCACCGAACTGAGTGAACCAGCTCTCCAACTCCGACTGGGTGGTATCGTGGGGCAGGCCACTGAGATGCAGGACCTTACTCCGCTCTGCCAAAAAGGCCCGGACATCAGCATGGGCATCCATGGGGCGGGTCAGGATCTCGGGGTGTTCTTGCGGCGGCTGCGACTTGCGGATGAGACCCCGAAGCACACGGGCAAGAGTAATGGATTCCTCCATCGCACGGCGCGGCGAAGCGGGGGCCAGAGCTTGCAAATGGAAGGGCAGGTTGTGCTTGATCGGGGCGGACGACTGAACGGGCTCAACCTCGAGGGCAGCGCAGATGTTGGAAAGCGAGCTGGGACCGAAAGGCAGCGACTCGGGGTGGTGGGTCTGCCAGCGCTGATATTCGGCGCGCAAGTCGAAAGTGCGGGAGTGCTGCAGGTATGCGGGCAGCACGACGGCCTTGTCGCGGGCCTCGCGGGGCAGCTGCACCCGCAGATCCCACGAGTCCAACGTCACAAAGGCAAACTCCAATTGTTTATTGGTGAGGTGCTCCTTGGCAAAGGTGTCGAATCGAGTGATGGCATCCCGGAAAGTACCTGCGGAGCGGACGTGTTCCCATGTCAAGGTGGTCAAACTCGCTTCAACGATTGTCAGCCACTAATCCTAGCAAAACCAATACATGCTAAGGTTGGTCCAAGGCGAGCTTACTGCAAAGCGGGGTGATCGGAGTGTTCACTGGTTTGACGAGAACACTTTCACGGTGCAGCTAAACAAATAGGAAAGAGTGTCAGCCTTTGGGTTCTGCCCGAGGCGAGAGTGTGTATGTTGGGTAGATGCGTTGGGTTGTGGGGGGGGACGTACTTCTTCGCATGTCTTGCTGTCCAACAGAATCCATCCCAGCTCAATCACCTCGGCCGAGTCCTTGGTGACATATACGCCATGTTCGTCGCAAGTGGTTGCAACGTGGATGACGATGTAGCGATCCAGCTTGGGGGTTGGTGCTGAAACGGCCGCCATCGCTGACTTGTCGCTCGGTGCCAACGGAGCGGCAGGAGAAGCCCGGGGAAAAGAGGAAAGGTCTCTGCGGGGAAAAGCAGAAGACAAATTCAACACGACCGGAGAGAGTCGTGGAATGAATAGCAAAAGAGAAAGCCCGGGGGAGAAGAGAAGGGAAAGGGGGGGGGGGGAAGGAAGAAGAAAAGAGACGTCGAGGTGGAGTTTTAAGAAAATGAAAAGTTTCGGGGCTCACGGGGGCGCGGAGATTACCAGTCAGACAACACTTCATCAACTACAACTATCACTTTCTCTTCTATCGAATCTTTTATTCTCTTCAATTCCCCTGGAAATTGTCTGTTCGGACTGGTCCTGGTGCAACCCCATCCCGGGCACAGATCCCTGCTCCGGTATGAACACGCACGCTTTATAGAAACTGCGGGAGTTACAAGAGTATACAGTCTAGGTGAGACAGCGATCTCCAAGTCTGATACATGATTCTACGCATTCCTTCACTGCTGTCAGAGAAAATGCGGATCATCACGTGGATGGGGTAT